AACTTTTTAGCTGTATTAAATTAATAATATTTCGGACATCTGACACAACGCCATCTAGTTTCAAACTAAACAGATTACTGAGGCAGTCAAATTATATAGTAAATATAGGTATATATGCTGTATTCTGTGATATAGTATTAGTAAATAGATGTTATGTACTATCGATATCCTACCATCGTCGTCTTTTATACCTCTAAGGGACCACGGTTGAGGTCCTCTTAAAGTAAGACACCGTAGCTAACATACGTTAAACCATAAAGAACTGCAAACCCTGTTAATAACGTGTATTGCCATGTTACGAATACCCCATATTATATTTCTTTCTCGTCAAGGAATTAATTAACATTAGCTGAAAACTTTAAACTGATAATCTAATAATTTAAATTAAAAAGCACCACGTTAAAAACCGCCTGAATAATGAATTCATTGTTATATCACAAGCCAGGGTAAAACAATCTAATTTTTATTCAGAAACGTGCCTGCTTTTTATCCGTCCTACCCCCTCAGCTTTATTCACCGTCATGATAAAATCTCTATGTGCTCGTGAAGGACAAAGCTCCTAAGCGTTAACTAAATAAAATTCTTATTATCTTAACTACGGCCTGAGGTGTATCGTCAAAAGGACCATTAAGGAACGGAAGTGCGGTCCGGCACGCGAGTCCACGTCGCACAGTCCTCATTACCATTCACTGGAGCGGAATTGGGACAGTGTCGCTAATGTGGGACACTACCGTTTTTGTTCTGAATATATCACACAAACTTTGGCTGTATACCGTTAGAATTGCAACTAATTGACTTGTGCGTACTATTCACTAAATACTCGGTATGTTGTATACGGAATTACCTCCAATTTACTTCTGATCAATTCCGATGCGGGTTCCAAGACAGTTTAAGGAGTTACAGTATAGTGGGCGTGTGAGAGTGATTAGTGTCTGAATAGGTTTGATATTGGGTTTTATTTGCACCCTGTTTGAGAAGTTAATTTTAATGTGTTTATATATGGTTACCACGCTGGCCAGACGGGTTGGTATAGAGTTTGTTTCAAAGTTTCCTTCTCTTTGCAGTGCTGTTGTCCTGCGTAGTTTGCTCCCTTAGTCGGCTCTTACGAAACCCACGGGATGAATAGGGGTGGCGACATTCCTTATTCTTAATCCGTCATCACACGGATACGACACACGATAGTAATTAACTCTTTTGAAAATATCATTTCTAGGCCACTAGAAGTTTCCTATTGCGGGACTTCTAAATCTTCTAATCACTAGGTCTAATGGCATGTGCAATATTTTTCTTGCTCGCGAGCACAAAAAAATAAAAGCTAAAGAATCTATTCACGAAGATATGTTGCTCGTAAATAGCGTATGTTGACATGGCATTAAGTCGTAATGTTCGAAGGCACTTAAGTCTATACATACCGCCGATAAATCGGCGAGAGCCTCCATTTTGTCCCAGCTGCGTACCCCATAGACGTCTAGCGTGCCGTTTGAGTTAAAGTGCTTTCAGTTTTTGGTTAAAGAATTGATTGGTATTTATCCTTAAGAGAAGGAAAACTTGAAACAAACCCTATACCAACCCGTCTGGCCAGCGTGGTATAGTAGGCCAAAACCTCCTTTCTAAGGAGAGGCCTATGTCCAGCAGTGGACTATTAAAGGTTGTTGATGTGAATCCTTATGAAGAAATATGTCATCTAGTGGCAGTCAAGTTAATGATATGTTGAAATATTAAATGAAACAAAAGAATTATCAGTCAATTTCTCTTAAAATAAGCGTTAATGTGCTACGAATAATACTGTTCTTTTCAATCGCTGTTTTGGTGAACTTTATGTGTACTTAGATCCAAAAATAAATCGCAATTTAAATTGCCGACAGAAAATTCCAATGATTTTCGACTTTTAGTATTCGTTACGACGTCTCTTACACCGCGTATAATAATAATAATAATAATAATAGCCTTTTATTCAGACACAAAAATAATATTTGCAAAATTATAATCTTAAGTTAACGACTCTGTTGAGTCGATGACATCGATAACTTCGTCCGTTTGCCCAACTTTGGCAAAGGCCTCCTCCATTTCCTTCCACTCTACTCGGTTTAGAGCTTTCCTTGTCCATAGTTTTCCTGCTATCGCCCCTATCTCGTCTTCCCACCTTCGAATCTGTCTACCTCGTTTTCTTTTCCTGTTTCTAGGGTACCAAAACACTAAGCTTCTGTTCCACTTTTCGATGCCTCTTATCATATGTCCAGTCCATTGCCATTTCAGTTTCCGTATTGTAGTTGTAACATTTTGTATTTTAGTGCGATTCCTGATCGTTTTGTTTCGTACTCTGTCTGATTTTCGTAAATTCAGCATGCTTCTCTCCATTGCTGTCTGGCAAGTTTCTAATTTTTTGGTTTGCGCTTTGGTGAGAGCCCAGGTTTGGCAGCCATAGGTTAGAACTGGTAGCACGCAGGTGTTGTACAGTTTTGATTTGATAGAAATCTTGGTTTCTTTGTTCTTCATAATTTCTTTTAGTCGCCAGTAGCACTTCCATGCATTCCCAATTCTAGTGTCTATTTCCTTTGACATTATATCAGTCGTCGAAATTTGTTGACCTAAGTAAGTGTACTCTTTAACATACTCAATTGGTACGCCGTTTATGACGATGGGGTCTTCGGACGCATTTGTTAAGGCTTTGGTTTTGGAGGCGTTCATCGTTAGGCCTACCTTGCGGCTTTCTCTTTCCAGGTCTATGAGCATGTTTTGTAGGTGTTCCTTGGTTTCGGCGAATAGTATAATGTCATCAGCGAACCGTAAGTGAGATAATCTTACCCCGTTTATGTTTAGCCCATAATGATCCCAGTTTAATTTACGGAAGATTCCTTCTAAGACAGCTGTGAATAATTTAGGCGATAACGGGTCCCCTTGTCTTACACCTCTATTTATTTTTATTTCCGTCCCTTCTTTTTCTAGCTTGATTCTAGCTGTGCTATTAGTATATACGTTTTTTATTATTCTGATGTACTTTTGTTCCACTCCTTGATTCTTTAAACAATACCAGATATATTCGTGTTCAATTGAGTCAAATGCCTTGCTGTAGTCGATGAAACAACAATAGAATGACACATTAAACTCCTTGTGTTTTTCGATAATTTGTCTCACAGTATGTATGTGGTCTAATGTCGAATAACCTGCTCTAAAACCGGCTTGTTCCCTAGGCTGGTTTTCGTCTAGAGTTCTTGTTATTCGGGCTAAGATTATTTTGGCAAATATTTTATAAATATTGGACATTAGACTAATAGGTCTATAGTTATTTATTACGGTTTTATCACCCTTTTTGTGGAGCAGGATGATGGTTGATGCAGTCCACTGTGACGGAATAACTTCGGTATTCAGTATATCATTAAAAATCCATATTAGTAGTGGTGCAATGTAGTTTCTGCAACTTATAATCAACTCATTGTTGATCTGGTCGGGACCAGGGGCTTTATCATTCTTCTGTGTTTTGATTGCCTTATGTATTTCATCTTCTAGTATGCATGGCACCTTGTCACCATTGCTTAGTTCGGTAATTTCAATTTGGCTCTTACCTGAGTACAGGTTTTTGTAGAATTTCGTAGCTATTGATAGAATATCTAATCTTTTGGTATTTGTCATGCAATGTTGGTCTTTCATATTAGCTATCCAGCTGGTTTTGTCTGATAAAACTTTAAGGGCCTTTTTTATACCACCGGTCTTGTTGATGAACTTTTCAAAGGTGTCGAGTCTAAGGTATTCTCTATCTTTTCTTATTTGTAATTTTATTTCTTTGCTCAATTTCGCTATTTCATCTCTGATAATTTTCGTTTTATTTGGAATGCTAATTAATTTTGATCGTTTTTCTAGGAGTTCTCTGGATTTTTCTGATATGTATCTCTTATTGTATGGTTCGACTTCGATGTTGGTTTTAGGTCTTGCTATTAGTATTTCGTGTATTATATTGTATTTCTGTTGGGTGCTTAGATACTCAAGAGACGATTCTGTCACAGAGTTGAGATTTTCTTTTATGGTGGCTATTCTTACATCGTTATGTGGTATTGTTATTTTCGCTTTGAAAGGCCGGCTTGGTTTTAGAGCAGATGATGTGTTGAGACATGTTCTAAGCATCCTATGGTTGCTATTAAAGTTGAGATATGCGATGGTGCCACAGTCGTCAAATAATTTGGGTCTGTTTGTTAGAATGTAGTCTATCTCGTTTCTATACCGACCATCTGGGGATATCCATGTCCATCTATTAGCAGCTCTCTTCTTGAAGTGACTGTTTAGTATTTTCATGTTATTTTCGAACGCCATTTCTATTAGTTTTTGTCCGTTCCTTGTTCTTTCCCCGCTACTGTATGGGCCCAGGACGATTTCTTCTCCGTTTCTTGGTTCTCCAACTTTTGCATTAAAATCACCCATGACAATGTAGTTTTTTTGTGCGTGTTCTTTTATGGCAGTTTTGAGGTATGAGTAGAATGACTCAATTTCTAATATCGTGGACTGTTCGGTTGGCGAGTAAATTTGCACTATGGACCATATTTCCTTGCTTATCTTTATGTTTAATATAGCAATCCTTTCTGATATGCCAATTATTTCTGTGATGAAGGTTTTGAGTGTTTTTCTTACTAGGAATCCTACTCCATGTCTTCCTGGTGTTTCGCCTTTGTGGTACAGTATGAATTGGTCATGCTCTTCAATAGCTTCACCGAGTCTTCTTACTTCGCTCAAGCCGATAATATCCCACTTTATGTCTCGTATAGAGTATAAAAGTTCTTGTAGGCGTTCTTCAGTCCTTAGAGAGAGTGTATTGTATGTTGCTATATATAGGTATTCCGTGTTTTGCTGCTTTTTGGTTCTAGACGCATTCGTTTGAGATAAAGGGATAGTGTTTGGAGGGTAGTGGTCGTCTTCCCCCACGGTGACCGGCCGTATTGGGGTGAATGTGTAGGTTGTTGCGCTGTTAACATAGTCTTTCTTCGTTGGTTTCGGTTTTCCGTTGTCGATGTCTATTGATCGTTTTTTGTGGTTGGGGGCGTTGACAGTGATGCGGATCTGCCCCGTACCATATAATTAAGCATATTATTTGTCTTGTTAATCTTTTTTGGGGCCAACGTGGGTTGGTTATTAGGTGAAGTGCTGCAGTCTCTTTTCCTCTTATCTCTTTTGTCATCTTTCGACTCCTTTATGACAATTTTATCTTTGACAAAGTAACAGATTTTGCCTTTTGCTCTTTCTTCCTGTAGCTGAGGAAGAAGCTCTTTCCTTTTCTCTAAGATTTCTTTGCTGAGATCTTCCTTGATGTATATTTCATGATCTAGTTTCTTTTTGTTTTTGAGAATTTCATTTTTCCTCCAATTTGTTGTAAACGTTACCAGAATGGGGCGTGGTTTGTTATCTTGTTTTGCTCCTAGTCGGTAGACGTTGTTTATTTCTTGAGGGTTGATATGAATGTTCATATATTTTTCTAGCAGTTTTGTGATGGAGTCGATTGGGGACTTATTGTTCTGTTCTTCTTGCATACCAAAGAAAATAATGTTGTTTTTTCTTTTGTGATCTTCCATTAACTTTATCTTGTCTTGTAAGGTCTTGACTTCAGTCTTCAAGTTATTATTTTCTTCCACAAGAGCAGTTAATTTTTCATTGATACTCTCGGATACTTTTTTGGTGACGGCTTCGGTTATCTCCCGCGTTTGTGCTGACATTTCTTGTTTCATTTTTTGCCAAAAAGCATCCATTTGTTGTTCCATATTGAAATGTTTTTGCTTGGTATACTGGATCAGTGTTTGTAATACTGGTTTATTATTGGTAACCCTAAGTTGAATTTGGCAAATCCGGTTTTGAGTTAACAACACTTGCTTCAAGTTGGCAGCACTAATTTAAAGTTGGCAACACTGGTTAGAGTCGGCAACACTGGTTTCACCTTGGTAACACGGTAGTCTATGGTTGTATTTTTCTCGGTAAGTTGGTATTCAACTGTCAACGTCTCGATGATGATTTATTTTCTTAACCTGTTTGGCGGTTTACGTATCGAAGTGAATGTTTTATCGTGCCATTTGGTTGTCCACTGTATATTCACCACTTTTCATTTGATTAATGATAGTTTTCAGTTGTTTTTGTTGATTTTGACAATTGACATTGTTGTGATTACTGTGGTGGAAATTCAAATAATATAACGGACAATTCTTTTCGCTTTTACGTGTTAATTAGTTTAGAGAGTTTATTTAGTATTTCCACTGTAAAAGTTTTTGTAGTTTTATGAGATGTTTTTGCTATGCTGTTTTATATGTTTTCAGCTTTTAAATTCACTGTTTATTTGGTTACACTGTTTTTGTTGACAAAATAGTTATTCACTTATTTCTGTTTTTGCACTGTACATACATGCTCACTAACAATAGACGGTGATTGTTGAATGTTAAGTCACTGATATATAACATTTACGCACCATATCTCACTAACTAAGTATTTTAATATAATTTTTAATTAGGAGTCGATGTCAACATCATATGACAGCTTTCACTTTTATATATACACACACTTTTATGTATACTTTTATACACCGCGTATACAAGTTGGCAATTTACTGCAAATATAATAAGCCCGGGCTTTTACAAATTACAATGTAGCTTTAGTGTCATAACAGTGTCGTAATGACTCGATTTCGTCAACACTAGATTTGATTGCAATAGAATGCCACCCATCTATATTATTTCATCGTGTCTTACACATCACTGTAACACTTGCGTTTGTAATATATAGTTTCCATTAAATCGTTAGTTATTTAGGTTGCACGAAGCGACCGGCGCGGCGGCGTGCGTGATTAGAACGATTTACCCCGACACAAATGAGTCATTATCTATTTGATAAACACGTGATACTCGTATATGTAAATATATATTTTATCTATAATAATTAATTTTATAACGAGTATCGCACCGTGCTATCACAATACATTATGGCTTATCACTCGGTACGTGTGGAAAATTAGGTAAAGGGAATAATAGTTTAGTACCTGTTTCACATATGTGTCTCAATTGATTATTACTTGTGACTACATACAAATATACAATTTTAACCTACGAGTATATCTTACTGTCGCGGGACTATATCTTACTTTGTAAGTAATTATAATATATTTTTTCTTTTTAAAAAGACAACTTCCGCATTAGGAATAAGTATATTCTTTGTTGCGGGAGACTTTACAAACATACATAAAACGGACACAAAGAACACCCAGACTTAGAACAACAATTCGTGGATCGCACTAAGTGTAATCCCATGTAGGGATCGAACCCACAGCACTAAGCGTAGTAGTAAGCGGCGTGGCGACCGCTTAAACCACTACGCCACCCGTGCAGTAAAACTTTACGTGCAGTTACTTACATGGAATTTCATTATTTAGTTTAGTTTGTTTCGTTGACGAATATAAAAGTAGAGGAAGACCGAAATAAAGGTGGATGGACTGCGTTAGAAGAGATATGACTAGAAAGACAGTAAGCAGTAACGAATGAAATAGAAGAATGGAAGTAGAAATCTCGTTGCGCCGACCCCAAATCAAATTGGGAACAGGGCAAGAAGATGTGCAGTTTGGATGATATTACTACAATTGCACGGATGGCGTAATGGTTCAAGCCGTCATCGTCACCTCGCCGCTTCCTACTGCACTGAGTGTGGAGTTCGATCCCCACATGGGATAACACTTTGTGTGATCCATAATTGTTGTTCTGAGTCTGGTTGTTCTTTATGTTCGTTTTAATTAATGTTTGTTAAGTCTCCCACGATACAGGATATATTCCAAAAAAGTCTGTGTTACTTTTTAATGTTTAATTGCTATTGCTAAACTTAGCAAAAGAAAAGAAAATTAAATCTTTGTTTTTACCTTAAACGGCACATTATTGTTGTCAATAATTTAACGAGTTAAAGGTGAAATTCACTTTGTATGACAACTAGGCAAAATACTTCGAAGGTCGAAAATTTAAGTGTATGCAGTTAATCTATCCGCACTCAGTAGCCGAGGATCTTTAATGCTAAAAGCTCGTCGAGAAGACAGCTTCGCTATAAACTTTTAATGGCTTTTTTTATCATAAAACCATTATGTGAAAACTTTTCATTAGTACTTAAGGTTCGATCAATTTATCAAGAGCCTGTCTCTAGCAGGTGCAGTCGATGAGCTCTCTGGTTATTATGTTACGTACTTTATTACGTTATTATTATACGTACATTTAATAATAAATAAGTAAATTGGTAACATTTAATAGTAGGCCAAAACCTCCTTTCTAAGGAGAGGCCTATGTCCAGCAGTGGACTATTAAAGGTTGCTGATGTGATGTGATGTGAAATTGGTAATACTGCCTTTTTGCTTTTTAATTCATCATTATAAACAGAGGACATAGGCCTCTCCTTAGAAAGGAGGTTTTGGCCTACTACACCACGCTGGCCAGACAGGTTGGTATAGGGTTTGTGTCAAGTTTTCCTTCTCTCTGCAGTGCTGTTGTCCTGCGTAGTTTGCTCCCTTAGTCGCCTTTTACGACACCCACGGGATGAATAGGGGTGGTGACGCTCTGTATTCTTAATCCGTCACCACACGGACAACAATAATTATTAGTAATTTTTAATCATTAGTTATAAATTCTGTACTTTCTGGAAAATGCGAAATAATATACGTATATCTGAATAGCGGTTAATTTCACGATACCGTCAAAACACTCTGGTCCATTAGCCCCAGCCATAAACCAGTTCCTTTTATCGCACATAATTTTGCTGCATCGTACAATGGGCTCGTTTTTGTACAGGTATATTAGTCAAGTTGTGTGTATAGCAACGTATTTACAATATGAAATCATCTCCTAAATTTAAGATATATTGATCCTGCACGTATATTATAAAATGGGCGGACCTTTTTTTTCGTGTGGATACTACTTCGGGCCGTCATCCCATAGGGGTTTGCCACCGACTGAAACAACACGGTGTGCCACTCTGCGTCTGAAATAGGAAGTATCCGGGAACAGCTGTTAAGACATCCGGAACCCTTCTGGCGCCTGCCCGGAATATAGCGCGGAAGATAGGACATAAAACAAATAATTATTCTCAACACAAAATTATTTGTACTGGGTGGGAATCGGACCCATGCCTTCTGGCTTGGCAGTCAGGGTTACTAACCACTAGACCAATAGGCCAGTTAGATCTAAACAAGGGAATATAGAATAACCTCAAAGGCTCAAAAATAGGATAAAATAATCACTTGAATTGTCGTCTAACGTGTATAGTGTACTAAGTGGGACGTATATCGATTAGGCCTAATCACTACCCTGCCGCGTCTTATTTACAATTATTATTATCAAGCAATCTCTTTGTTTGTTGTGTCAACATAAACAATTACATAATTCATATCACACTTGAGTAACGTTCTCACACACACTAATTACAAAACATTTACAGCACAAACAATAATAACCTAAAGAAATAAATATACATCGAGATCGCATCACATGTTGAAATCGAGACGGATTCTGTTTCATTAGGGGGTCATCTAGCGATCCGGGGTTCGTCGGGATACCAGGGTACTGGCTACTGGTACCCGAGGTTTGAGTCTGTTCGAATCGACATAACCACCCCACTGGCAAGATGATTTCCGCACAGAAAAAAAGCGGATAGAGAGGCGGAGAGTGGCCCTCCCCAAAAAGAGAATAGAGAGTTAACTTAATGCCGTAATAGGATATATTTCTTTCTTGCCGAACTTTGAGGTGCGAGAGACGCACTTGCCTCAAGGTTCAGATATAGCATCGATCCGGGAATACCAATACCACAGGCGATTTTGTTTCATAGATTTTTCTTCTTTTTTTTCTTTTTAAAAGACAACTCCCGCATTAGGAATAAATCCTGTGTGGCGGGGGACTTAACAAACGTACATGAAACGGACACAAAGAACACCCAGACTGAGAACAACAATTTGTGGATCACACAAAGTGTTGTCCCATGTGGGGTTTGGACCCACAACACTCGGCGTAGTAGGAAGCGGCGTGGCGACCGCTTAAACCACTACGCCATCCGTGCAGTATTAAGATATGAATATCCACTAAGGAGATCAATTAACAATGATTAAATACACTTTTATAAAATAATCATTTTGACGTTAGCACTAATCGCTCCTAGAAGTCTGTAAAAGCCCCAGAAAGCTTTAGCGCGTCTGGAAGGAGGTAGATTGGCTCACATACCCTACCACGACGCATTAAGGACCGACCCCGAGTCTAAATGCGAAAGCCGGAGCCCACCGCGCCATCCGTGCACTCAGTGATTAGTTAAGAGGTTTTTCAAACAGCGTATGTAATGAAAGAAGACTATTTTAATATTATGATCCCCATCCACTTATATTTAGTAATGATAATCTAAATAATAATGTAATTAGAACTGATTGTGTGTTGCAGGGAGGAGGTACGGAACCACGCGGTGTTGTGGAACGCTCAGTTCTCGTTCGTGTGCAAGATGTGCGCCAACGCGAGCACCGGCGTGCTGGAGCCTGCGCACCTCAGGGTCTCCGTGCGCAAGGAGCTTAAAGGTAATCACAAATCTCCAATAAATAATTAGCTCCAATATGTTAACTTAATGTCTGTTGTAATGAATAACCTAAAATACAAAAAAGCGAGAGAAACGAAAACCTGATTTTTTCAGGCATATGAAGTATGTGTCTCTCACAACGGCGGCCCTCCACACATTCCAGCATGTTTCATCCTAACCTCAATATATAAGGATATTTAAATATAGAGGATTTTTAAATATTCAAATATCATATTTTTCACAAAATTCAGTTAAAATTTGAAATGCCATTTTATAATTTGTAGCAGTTTTTTTATTTTCCTTAAAAGAAGGTCGTCTTAAGATTTTAATAGCAAAATAATAAACTTTTAAAATGTAAATTAGGACAGAGTGACCTATGATTCTATTCATTTTCAATGATTGAAATGATGATGATTTTCTAAATGATTTAAAATGTAAATATGAATTTTTTCAATCTATTTTAATCTAATCTTTCCACACACACTATATTCGGAATTGTTTTTATATAAGAGAACTAGGTTTTGCCCGCAGCTCCGCCCGCGTAAATGTCGGTTATCGCGGTAAACTCTAGCCTATGACTTTCCTCAAAAATCAAATTATCTTCATACCAAATTTCATTTAAATCGGTTCAGCGGTTATTGATTCCCCATACAAACTTCCAACCCCCCTTTTCATCCCATTAAAGGATGGCTTCTGGGATAAAAATATGACCTTTCCCGGGGCTCGAACGACCTCTGTACCAAATTTCATCTAAATAGGTTCAGCGGTTTATAATAATATTATGGTAATATTAGTATGAACTAGTATGGATAAAAATATTTTTCTTATATAAAATAATGAAGGAATATTTTTATTCTCATATTCCAATCAATTTTACTTTAAATGTAGTAACTGTTAATTCCTAAACGACTTTGCATACGTTCGTATACGTGAAATACATTAACTCACCATTCCAGTGCGGCACACACCGTAACACAAACGCACCGTGCGTAACAAGCAACCTTACCCTTAATGCACCAGAGGCCCGCGTGTGAGTTTATTTTAAATCTACGCAATCGCCACGGTGACCGTTGGCGTTGTGATTGGCCCGCGCTGCAATCTTCACCAATCACAACTTCAAATAAACTCGGGCCTCAGATCTCTTTTATCACAATATACCCGCGGTAAAGTTGTAATCTCTAAATATTTAATGGCACAAAGTGATGCATCATCATCATCAACAGCCTAAAACAGTCCACTGCTAGACATAGGCCTCTCCTTAGAAAGGAGGTTTTGGCCTACTATACCACGCTGGCTGATATAGGGTTTGTTTGTCAAGTTTTGCTGTTGTCTTGCGTAGTTTGCTCCCTTAGTTGGCTCTTACGACACCCGCGGGAAGAATAGCGGTGGTGATATTTCGTAATCTTAATCCGTCACCACACGGACTAAAGTGATGCATAAATAACTTAAATTACTTGCAATTTTCGTCCTTTGACTCGTTTAAATATTTTCAAGTAAACTTTACCCTGGAGATACTTAGCATTCAGAACTCGTTTGACAGTACCGAGAGCGGCGCAAACTTTGCAGCTTAGAACGACTCAAAGCTGCAGTTTGCCCCGCTTTGAACTCAAGTAAATATTTTTGAACTGAGCTTGAGTTTTTCTATTCGACCAAGTACAGCGTCGGAAGCGTTTAAATTTAATACTTGTGCATTGTTTATTTTTATTTAAGAAATTAGAATCTGTTTCAATTATTATACGTTCTTTGAGAATAATAAGTACCTAGTAATAATTAATTTATCTTTTGAAAATATACTTTTTGCCATTTAGAAGGCCAAAAAGGAGGAAGTCTACGAAATTCTTCACTGATTGATTATGACTGGTATTTAAAATATCAATATGAACGAAATATATAGAAATCTTATATAGATCTCTAGATTAAATAACTCGAAAGTGTATATATATATATATTCTAATTAACTGTATTCTTCGATAACTTTCAAAATCAAAATCAGTTTTTTTTGTCTGTGTTTGTTCCGGGTAATCTTCTATACGGCTGGGCTGGATTTCGATAATATTTTACTACCAGGTAGCTATCTACATAAGGAATAACTTAGGCTGTGATTCCTCTCAGAAAAATCCTTTAAAATATTGCCCGGTCCGGGCATCGAACCCACTAAGGCAGCGCTTTTCAAATTCCACGCGAACGAAGTCGCGGGTACCTAAATAAGTCGTATTAAACCAAGGATATTTTTTTCTCATTATGGAAGGTGGTTTTGTTCCCCCACAACTTAGTACAAACTAATGTACTAAAAAAATGTTTGTGTGTATGATTAAAGGCGGCAGGTCATACCAGAAGCTGGGCTTCTGTGACGTGAACCTGGCGGAGTTGGCGGGCGCGGGCGAGACGACGCGGCGGTGCCTCCTGGAGGGCTACGACCCGCGCCGCCGACAAGACAACTCCGTGCTGCGGCTGCGCATCAAAATGAACATGATCTCGGGCGATCCGCTATTTAAAGTGTAAGTACGCATTTGTTATAACGTTATTCCCAAGGAATAAAGAAAATGGTTCTTCTACTTAAAGGCTGATTGGTGTAATATATATTTGACTATACGCCATAAAATCTGTAATTGAATCTACGAACTCGTCATCGAATTCTTTACCACTATACATATATGTGTGTCTTCTGAATCATGTACCAATTTCAGAGAGACAGATATTCTTCATATTGTACACTTAAAATCATACAAATTCCCATACTAGGAATAGTCTTAAAATTAAGGTGCAATTGGCGTCATTATCACGTTCTGCGATTTCTTCCATTAAACCATGGGTTGAAGCGAGAGGTTGATGAAGACTTGAGGGGTTGCAGTGTGCGGTAACTGGGTATGAGTATTATCTATAGAGAACTATGAACTAAACACGTACAAAAAACTTAATTCAAGTTTTGAATATGTTACAGTCCGGAGCGCAAGCAGGAGGCCGTCGAGTGCAAGGCGGCGGGTGACAGCGGCTCAGAGACGGCGGGTACGACAGCACCCGACGACGACTGCGCATCTTCCACCGCTAGCTCCGGGTTCGGTTCCCTTACCAAGAAGAAGAGTTATAATAACACTTTGGTTGGAGGTAAGACCACGTTCATCGTCACTTGCTACCGTTTGAAAGCCGGTCTCATATCGGCAGTCTGATCCCTAAACTAGGCTGAACCTGTGCTATGGTAACCAGCTAGCTGATAAATATACTTACATAAATACATAATAATATTTGACGACAGGATGGCGTAGTGGTTTGTGTAACGGACTGCTGTACTAAAGATCGCAGGTTCGATTCCCGCTCAAGTCAAACATTTGTGTGCATGAACATTTAATGTGTGATTTGATCTGGGTGTTTCTATACATAAAATGTATGTATTTACATTTTTACAGATTATCACACAATCATTTGTTCTAAATGGTAATTGAAACCTGTGACAAAGCAGTCAGAATAACCAACTACTGGGATAATAGGCCAGTCAAAATTAATATAGTTTACATATCGATATCAAATTAAGATCAAGAACATAACTTCTTACAACAAATTACAAATTACTCGTAATATTAATACAAGCATCTGTTTTGCTACAAACACAACATTTCTTATTGCTCTTCGTATATTTGTATTTGCAGAAGGGAATATCGGTCAGTCTCTAACGTTGGTACCCTCGTGCGAGCTGTCGACCCCTGACGATGAAGACTCCCCACTAGGCACCTCAGCGCCTGACCACCCAGGTAACACCCATCGTACAAGGGACATGTTATATCAATCACGTTTTATGATTATACATCAACTAGTTATAATCACATCAACAGCTTTCAATAGTCCACTGCTGGACATAGGCCTCTCCTTAGAAAGGAGGTTTTGGCCTACTATACCACGCTGGCCAGACGGGTTGGTATAGGGTTTGTGTCAAGTTTTCCTTCTCTCTGCAGTGTTGTTCTGCGTAGTTTTCTCCCTTAGTCGGAACGAACACCCACGGGACGAACACGGGTGGTGACACTGTATTCTTAATCCGTCACCACACGGACCGAGTACTAGTTACAGATTAAAGTAAATTCTGACAATTGTTTGAGTACTAAAAATCGGCAGAATCGAATCGAAGCTTGGAATAAGAACTTACACAGGGAAGGCACTAGATTTATTCAGCATTTATAATATGAATAAGTATCCGATATTAAAGACCTATTAATATAATATTAAAGGCAGAAGCCTCCTTTCTAAGGAGAGGCCTATGTCCAGCAGTGGACTAGTAAAGGCTGTTGATGATTGATGATCCGATAATGCGTAGTATAATAGTGGTGGGCCGTGTAATGTTTATTTGGCAATGATTAATACTGGAATTTAACTAAATGGTGCGTTGTGTGTGCAGGTCTAACGCTGGCAGGTGTTGGCGCGGCTACCGTGCCGGTGTCGTGCGCCTCGTGCATGCAACAGCAGCAGCACACACACTCCAGGAACTCCTCCAACACCTCCGGGGACATGAGCAGTAAGGTCAGTATCATCACGCCCGATCACCACTGAGAATACATCTCAGAACCGAGAAGAACCCTTAAGTGCTGAAGGCCCTGAGCCTGCAAGCACGTTCTGTTACTAGTGGCATCTTAAGTACCCCTTTCCTTCAAGCAGATACTTAAGCAGAATAACATCTCTGATCTGATCCTTGTGGCCTTTCTGTAAGGTGTCACCTTTTTTTTTTTTTTTTTTTTTTTTTTTTTTCCGTGCGGAAATCCCCTCGGATACCACCTGTCGGTGGCATGTCGGACTCGAACCGACTAAAACCGCACGCCTTCGCCGGGTACTAATTGCCGGGGAACCAGGTATACCCTAGAAAGGAAGGCCCTGGTGCCCCGACATACCTCGGGTCATCTACAGACGAGTAGACGACCCCCGCCCCGTGTGGGAACCCCATGTTCCCTGTGCTCCCTGGAAGCGAGCGCGCTTCGCAACGCGCTCGCCGCCACCCCGGCCTGCTTCTGCTAGGGTGACAGATGGCCTCACCTGTCACCCCCAGGCCTGCGTTTATGGAGGACGGAGGTCGTTCTGCGACCTCCGGCGCCTGAGTCGCCTGCGCTGCCTGGCCCGTGCCCGGGCCTGGCGGGCCGGGAGAGTTCTAAACCTCTCCCGGTCCCGCTCCGCCGTCTCCTTCGCGAGCATAACTTGCTCGCAGAAGGAGACGGCAGAGTTCCACGCACTCTCGCTCCGCACGATAGCCGCAATCAGGCTATCGAGCGAGAGAACTCCCACTCCGATGGCCGCCACGAGGTCTCGCCTCTGCTCAACCCACGCCGGACACTCTGCCAGCGTGTGGAGAGCCGTGTCCACGGTCTGGCCATCGCAGTGGTGGCACTCAGGCGTTGGCTCCTTGCGGATCAGACACAGGTGATCTCCGAAACATCCCTTCCCAGTGATCACCTGCGTCAATCGGTATGAGAGGGTCCCGTGACGCCTCTCGAGCCAATCCTCCATAACGGTGTAAGGTGTCACCTAGCACTAAGTAAGATATCCAATATTCTTTAGCCTATAGTGGTACTAAATCTACCTTTACCTGTCAGATTTCCAGGTTTAACCTAATATTTGTTTCCGTAGGCGTCCGGCTACGGCAGCTCGTCAGCAGCTTCAGCACATTCACGACAAAGTTCCGAGGGGGATTCAGCAGGGGACTCGTCACGACCGCATCACAATAGGTACAGTAACTATACTCAATACAGACACTAATTGTGTACTTAATAAGATATCATTGTGTATATTAGCATGGTCCAAAATGTCAGGGAAATGTATTATCTGGACTATATATGTCTCTCGAAGGGTATACTGTAGGCTCACTAGGTGTGGTGGTCAGCGGTGCTCGCCCGGTGTGGATTTATACTTTGCTAACCACGGTCTTAGGTGGCACACTTGTGTGGTAGACCGCTCCGCTTTCTCACACTCGAAACTGAGATCATAGGAGATATCTCTGAACAGGATTCTCTTGTTCGTGTAATAAATACATGTAAATACATTTCATTGATCTCATAGAGATATTTCTTATGATCCGTTTCAGTGGATCCAGCCCTTCTGTTTCTTATTTTTTGTTTGTGCACTTTGTGTGTAAAATTAAGAGTGACAAGACTTATAATATGTTGCCGCAACAGTAAGTGGATAAGTGTGTTTAATTCACGCAGCAAAGTCTCGTTGCATGAGTGACACGAATACCGACAGTCACACGACACGTGCGTGTCTATGTGACAACCCCTGTACAGTACCCCCCCCCCCCCCCCCCCCCCGACTACCCCTCGTCAGTGCTTCGTATACTTTAACAACTGCGGCACGGTCACTAACAGTGTATTTGTACTGCAACTCTTTTATTTATTTTTGCTTTAATAATTATTATTTTTCATGTTTTTGTTTTCTCCACTCCCGCACCCCGCCGCACGCAGTGTACGCTTAGAGCGGACCACGACCACTACCACCACGCTATACGTCCCCTCCCAGAACTGCAAGCACACGGGCCGCACTCTAGCCAAGCTCCTGCTCGAGAAGACCGTGGTGAGCGAGACGTCTGACGTCTTTCTGACCCCCAACAATACCCTCACCGGACCCCCTGACGTTATTCCACGACATGCCATCCAGTCGCCTTCCATTGAGGAGTATAAGACGCCGGACGGGACGCTCATCACGGAGAACGCACACGACAATTCTTTCGCTATGCCAACATACTTCGATCAGAAGAAAAAGGTAGCCGCGACCATCATCAGCGCTGCCGTGGAACCCCTAACCAATTTCCAAATATTCAAGCAGAAGTCACTAAACACCATTCCCGCGTTACTCGAGAAGAATAAGAAGAACGAGGAACTGTTCAATAACTTTCCGTTCCTGACGCCCCTCGCCCACAGAAAGAACTCTCTAGTCTCCAATGCGCACAGACTGTCGGGCTGCATAGAAGACGAGTTCTACTGCGTACCGTCCGACCCCGAAGTGGACCTCGGCTCGTCGGAGTGCGTGGACATCAGACATCGGTTCAAGAGTCTGTCGAACCAGGCGCTCAACGAAGAGAAGATTCTCACTTCCACGCCCAAGAACGAGTTCACCCAGGTGATGTGCGGGGAGAAGCTAGGCCGGGGGCGGAGGCTGGACTCGGCCACCACGCTGCGCCACAGCTACACCGACCACGTGAGGTGAGTCACCGCGCCCCGCGCCACACCCTCCGCCCCCTCTTCCTCCCTCCTTCGTGTGTCTGTCCGGTAACGTTTTAAGCGTACTAAACTCGGTTGCGGGCGTGGTTTCGGAGGGTTCTATGGTGTCTTTTCTTTCTTCTGTGCTGTCCTACACTAGAACGATCTTCTTTCGTGTGCCGAGGTTTCTTTTAGACTAATCTCTAACTAGTGAGTAAGACCGATTTAAAATAATACAAATTGGATACGAGCGATGTGATACCAGTGTGTGTGGGGGTGAACGCAGACGGGGCGCAGGCGAGTGCGGCGCGTGCGGGGCGTGCGGGGCGCTGCGGGACGTGGCGACGCCGGGGGCCAGCGGCGCGGGGGGCGCGGGGGCCGGGGGCTGCGGGGCGCCCGCCGGCTCGCTCCCGCGCCGCCCCAGCTCGGCGCTGTGAGTGCCTCCGCTCGCGTACTCTCGCTCCGTGCACACGTGCGACGTGCTCCCTCTAGTTCATGTCGGTTAGGACATCGTGGAGCTGTTCACGTGTGCACAGAAGTGTTTCTAGATGTTGTCTCGTGTCGATGGTACTGTCGGAATATCGTTTATGTATATTTACAGCTTTATGTCAGTCTGTTGTCTTTTTTAATGTTGTTAGTGATTAAAGAATAAAGATTTGTTTGATATTTTTGTAATTTATTCTAGAATAGATTTTCAATACGATTGTCAATATTTAAAAAATGTGTAAACTTCAATATATTTTATTTTTATTATATAATTAATATAATTTTTACAAGATGGATGCATGGCTGGTTTTTATTAATCTATTGTTTATGTTATAAGCTTTATATGAATCCGGGTTTTGCATGAGAGGAATTGTAAATAACATTGCTTGGATTGCGTATTAATTTTTATGTGCGGACGCTTTATAAATATACTAGAGTCATAAGACAATGACTTGGCTGAATATTTTAATGCATTTAGATGTTATAATCGTCGTCGATATGTCCATGGACAATCATATCGATAGAATTGGTATATACAAAGTTTAAACGTAATTATCGTGTTAATCTCAACGCACAAAGTGAATAAGTTGTGGGATCGTTCCCCACCGTAGGTAATGTACCGCATTACCTAGCCCTTAATAATAATACTTGTGATGTGTGACCCACCATGTTGTCTTAAGCCAACAATTTTTTTATGTAATGGTATATATTTGTGCGTTGACATTAATAACTTGGTATCTCAAAACCGTCGCTTCGGTCGGATAAGTAAGTTTTGAAACGATTTCTATTGCACGTGAATATTATTAGAAATGAGTCTTTTACAACGTACATTCGTGACAGCGGGTTTTATTTATAAATGATGAAAATCAAATTTAATAATATTCAGTATACATCACGACGCGACGTGATATGCTTCCGTGGGAGAGCCATGCTTCGGCACGAATGGGCCGGCTCGGCCGGAGTGATACCACGGCCTCACAGAAAACCGGTGTTAAGCAATTCTGTCGTTTCCTGTCACTGAGTGAGTCAGGTTACCGGAGCCTAAATCCCTCCTCCCGCTGATTCGAGCGGGAGGGACTCCAAGGGCAGCAACGCACTTATGACTTTTGAGTTGCAGGTGTCCATGGGCGGCGGTAGTTGCTTACCATCAGGTGACCCATCTGCTCGTTTGCCCCCTTATACCATAAAAAAAATGTGGCGCAAGCGAAAGTATAAAGTTAGTTTACCCTTTACGTGTTCATAGAACAATTGAACAATGATATTGGGTCTCTACAAGAGAATTCGATGTTCCTTATGTGGTATCAGAATATGGTACTTTTTCTTTTTCTACGTTTTGATCGTGCGGCGGTTTTGAGATTAACAGTCGATCCAATAGGATGGAATTTATGATAATTTAAATTTATGATATATTATGTATTTGTGTGCAGGAACCCTTCATCCGGATCTTTGACAGCGTCAGCATCTGAGGGCGGGTCGCTGGAGAGGGCGCGAGCAGCGCACGAGCGCCGGAAACGAGCCGTGCTCCTCGCGCAACCTGCGCCTGCGCCGCCGCCTGACGACGCGCCGGTACCTACCTTCTATTGTACTTCTAGCGAGTTACTAGAATTTACACCAATATACACAGCTGCAATTACGTTTAGAATTGCATGGATAGCTTAAAGCCCATAAACAATTTAATCCAATTTAATAAAAAATATACTAAATGACGTTACCAGTTTTTCTTACTTACGGATACGACTGGTGTATAAGTCTTTCGTAATTTCCGATAAGTTTTTGCCTCGATTATGCAAAGCAATTATTTGTGCTCTGGTAGTCATTTGGTTCTCATAACAATTTAATTATTTTTTTAATAATGACTTCACACATCTCACACACGGCAGTCTGATATCAAACTAGGCAGAGCTTGTACTACGGTAACTAGTCTGCTGAGTAACATAGACCCAGACACAGAGCAAATGATCGAGTTCATCACACAATAATTTGTCCTGGATGGGAATCGAACCCACGATCTTTGGCTTAGCAGTCACTTGCCACTAGACCTCTTGGCCTCGAATAATAGAAACAAGAATAAACACACACACAAGAAGATGGCGAATGAACAAACTAATAAGTCATTAAAAACCAAACTACCCACATTAATTCATCAAGGTAAGATGGAAAATGATGACATAAATTGTGGTGGTATATTTGTATTTTTCTAATTATTATAGTTAATGTTCAGGCATTCCTGCAGCACACTGTGCAGGAAAATACCAACGTGAATACAAATATACGGCAGTTAATGCAATAATAGTTATCCCGCGACGTGATAGGTATTAGCTTCGATGAGTGCCTAGTGGCAGACGACCGGATGGCGTAGTGGTTTGTGTAACGGACTGCTATTCCGAAGGTCCCGAGTTCAATACCCGCACAAGTCCAATATTTGTGTGCATTAACATTTATTGTTTGATTTGGTCTGGGTGTTTCTATTTATTATGAGTATGTGTTTACAAAAAAATATATATTTACAAAAAATATATCAAATATATGTATTTATAGTTGTCTAGTAGCCATAATACAAGCTCTGCTTAGTTTGTGACTAGATGGCGTTCTGTGAATCTACAAGTCTCAATACACACACACACACACAGTAGGTAGGTACAATATAAAACAAGGATAAATTGCAGAGTTAGATATGTTCCCATAAATGGCAAAACGAATTGTTTGCAAAATAGAATTGTATCTAGAAAAAAATATCTCAAAAAGTAACGGAAATTCCATGCTTTTCTAATAGGTAGGCTTTCTGAATTATAATTATAAAACAATAACTGTTTAATTTTGTCGATTCCAGCACGTGGTGTCCAGTCGAGTGGGCAACACGCGCGTGAACCCGGACCACCTCATCGACGAGCTGCTGGCCGCCACCGACCTCAAGCAGGCGGTCGAGGACTCCGCCGAGAGTGAGTGTTACGACTACACATACATATATATATATATATATATATATATATATATATATAATCTGTGCACCTAATTCAAAATTTATTCATCTTTCTAATATAATACTTTTAAGTTTAAATTAAAAAGAAAAAAGTGTGTGTGTCAGCTCCGAAGCACGACTGGAATTTACTCCATAAGAACGATTCGACTGCACACATGTATACAAGTTATACACACACATGTGAAAGGTGCGCACGATAGGCTGCACACAAAAAACGTAACGAGGTCAGTTATGAGGTAATTCGATTACGAAATTTTACTCTTCACATTTTTCATGCCGGGCGCCTTATATGAAAATCGATTCTTAAGAAGTAAACTCTAAAAAAAATCAAGACCATGTCTGTAATACCTTTAAAAGTGTTGGAACGACGGATCACGTGATGGTAAGCGACTACCGCCGCTCATGGACCCCTGCTACTCAGCAGTTACCGCCCTTTGAGCCCTCAAGACCAGGGTACGGCAGTTGGGCTTCGGTAACCTTACCAACTCAGTGGAAAGCAAAGAAAGAATTGCTCAACACTGGTTTTTCTGTGAGACCTTCTCCGGTCGAGCTTGTCCACTGTGCTAAAGCATGTCTCTTATTGTTCTTTCCACTTGAACCCCCCGTGTGGACCCCCTAGGGCTCATGGACACTCACTATTACAATTGGACCCCCTCAATAGAGTCTTTGTATATGGTTGCCTGGAAGAGATCGCCTCAGAGCGATTTGCCCAAATTTGTATTGTTTACAAAGCTAGATTTTAATTTTCATATGTAATGACTTTCAGTGTACAATGACTGGGGGTTGAAGTTGAATATAAATTTCATAATTATTCTCCCACCCTCGGGCTGAGGGTCCAAGTCTCATAGTGAGTGTCAATGGACTCCCTAGTCAACTAGATTCTAATCGGTTGTGCACTAAACTAAGTAGCATACGACGGCTCGTTTTGAACAAATATATAGAAGTCATAACCATGGTTACCATGTTGAAGAGTGCGTGTGGTGTTGCAGCGTCCGGCCTCCAGCTGTACATAACGCGCGACGGCACCGCGGAGCTGGGCACGCGCCAGCGCCAGCAGCAGCTCGCGCGTCGCGACTACCAGCGCGTCGTGCTGCACCCGCACGACAACAGGTACGCGCTCCCACTGCCCCCCACTGCCCCCCACTGCCCCAGTCCCACCACAACAGGGACAACAACTGGCTGCTCTGACACCATATTACAGCTACAACTATTTGTTTCTGATTCATTAATTTAATTAATTAATTAATTTTGACTGCCTCGATGACGCAGTGGCAGTTTATGCGACTGCTGTGCTGAGGTCTCGGGTTCGATTCCCGGGTCAGACCATATGTTTGGATGATCTGCGAATATTTGTTTCAAAGTTTGGGTGTTTTCTATGTATAATATGTATATATTTACAAAAAAAAGTATATAAGTATTCTATTAGTCACTCCAGCTTTCATAGTACAAGCTTTGCTTAGTTTGAAACTAGATGGCGTTGTGTATTAGATGTCCGAAATATTATATTATTAATTTTAGACGCTTCTTTACATTGTATTGTCACTAATAATAACGAGAACTAAAATAAAGTAAAATTACAGGTAATTTATATTCGATCCGTAGTGACCATATTGTTTTGTTTTGTTGCGCCAGGTAGCCCAAGCGCCCGAGCCGGAGAGGTGTCGTGTGGACAGTATTAGACGTGCGCGTGCTCGTGCGCGTGCTCGTGCTCGTGCTCGCGCTCCGCTGCGGCTGCGTGCTGCCGAGACCAATGCATATATATTTATTGTTTTATCTAATATAAATTATGCCATAATTGTTTTACGATTCGTAATTTAATGTTAATTATTACTATTCGGTAGCAGTTCTACGAGAACGGTTGTGTTCGTACAATCCGACAGTTTTGTATGGTTTACATTATTTTTATTTCTTATTTAACGTAAGTAGGAATCTTTTCAATTCGTGACGACCTACTCGACGAGCGATCGTTCCTGTGTCGCGCGTTCGTCTGTGCTTCCTCCACTTGACGTTCTGTGGCGAGTGGCGAGTGCTCACTGGTGGTGCTAACGCTCTATCGACGTGCCGATAGATACGATGTAATCGATTAGAGATTCGTCGCCGGACGAGTCCCGTCGTCTAATCAACGCAGTACTTCCGAATCCCTCCATATTATATTTTCATTGTGAATTTTGTATAAATTATTTAGTCGTGGTGCCAAACGAGGGTCGCGGGACGCTCGGCGGGGAACAGATAGCGATCGACGGGGCGAGGAGGTAAATCTAAGTCATTCCTTTGCGTAGCTTGAGCGTGGCTTGCGTCGGACACGCGGAGAGGCGCGAGGCGTGCTGTCGGGCCGCGACTGCTCTACTTAACGACCTGATTAAATCATGACAATACTTTTTGCTTTAGATTTTTCATTTACAATTAAAAATGAAAGGTTCGGGACAGCACGTCGGCGTCCAACTCGCTCGGCGCTGTCTCTGGGCCGACCGGACGCACAGGGACAGAGTCGAGCGAGGGAATAATTTATCTGCACCGCGCATCGAATGTGGGGTGTTGCCGCGAGTGTGGCCGCTGATCGCCGCGGGAGGGCGGCACCAGTCCTGCCCCCCCCCCCCCCCCCCGCAGCCGGCCGCGTGGTGCCGGTAGCGGCCCGCGTTGTTAATGTATAATATTTTATAAAGCCTGTACAGTATTTGAATAAAGGACGTGTCTAGAGCTACTATGTGTTTCATTTTATATTTCACATCAGTATCGTCATCAGCTAACTACGCAGACATCGTAATAATAAGACACTAGAAATGAATTAGCGCTCTATTAATTCCAAAACCGATGTCGCAGGGCAATAATATTCCAATTTACAAAAAAAGTTTATTAGTATGTTATCAGTCAATCTAGCTTTCATAGTACAAGCTCTGCTTAGTTTGAAACTAGATGGCGTTATTAGTATTGTGATTAAAACAAATCTGATGATTAAAAAAAAAAAAAAACAAACAAAAAATTGAAATAATAAGCTATTACTGAACAAATAGTTCCTTCAGGTAACAATTACATTTATATTAATGTAGAAAGCTAAGCTTCTTTTAGTTAAGATTGGCATTAGTCTACTTAGTAATAGAATCTCGATTACTTTTGATAATTTTGACAGTAGGCTGATGAGTTTGTAACATTTGACGTTTTAGGACTATTGCTCGGTTTAGGGGCCATTAGAATTTACAGACGAACCAGTTTCTATTGGTGGCGAACGTTAAATTTCTAAGAATAAACCACAGTAACCATTTTTATCTTATACTTAATAGAAAAAAAAATGGGTAATTTACGAAGCTATTTTAAACAATTATTCATTATCCAAATAAATACGTTTGATACGTTATTTATTCAATGTAGATCAAAATTGCCTTATACATCAACAGCCTTCACTAGTCCACTGCTGGCCATAGGCCTCTTCTTAGAAAAGAGGTTTGCCTTATACAGCATATTAAGTTATAAGCGTTTATAAGGGGCCCTGCTGGAGTAACTGCAGGGCCACAGGGCAGGGCAGGGCCACGCTTGTATATCAAAAACTAGGGAAGGTAACACCTAGAGAAGGTGATTTATTACTTTAAAATTATTGTACTTAAAGTAAAATCTTAAAATTGTATTAATGTTTCTTTATTGAACGAACCTGCCGGAACGAAACCGATGCCGAACAATACCTACTCGACGACACGTCACCGACAGCTACATTCTTAATTTCGCCAGCGACATGACTACGAGCCGATACCACGCCACAAATATAATATAAAATAAAATATAAATATAGTTATTCTATAATACGCACCCACCAAAAGGAAAAGGAAGCTGTATTCATTACCTACCTATAAACAGATCTACAACTACTACTTAGTCGCTGGCAGATAGACTGCTGCGCTCCCTTTCATTAAAGGTAAGTAAAAAAGAGATAGATGCGCGTGCACAAACGAGCTACTTGTTATGCTACGAGTTGCCCGTGACATAAGATAAAGTCAGCCACAGTTAACTCAAACTCAAATATCTTTATTTCATAATAATTAAAAAAAAATGAAATCGTCTTGTGTAGACTAAAGTCATTGATCAACACACGCAATAGCAACAATCTCTGTTTTGTCAAATATTTAGCAAAATAAATATATACGTATCGAATACCTGTTATATGCCTGTACCGATCTACAACCGCCCATTTCCAAGGGGTTGAGCGTCATGAGAAGAAAGGGCAAAGAAACTCACGGCCAGTCTTTTTTAACAGTGGAACATATTATGAGTAGTAGTATTAGGAACTTCTTTCTTCTTTTTCTTTCTATTTCTTCTTATAAATATATCTGTATAAAGACAACATAAACAGAAGAAGTCTTTGGGTAAGTTTGAAATAATATATTTAGTGTGTTTAATAAACTCTGAACGCAAAAAAACATGGTAAGTAAATAAAATAATCTAGGAATTTAACATTCAGTTTTTAGTTGCAAATAATAACTTTTTAACCGACTTCTTTGAACTTCAATTCCTTTATTACAATTATAATACAATCCAATAAATGCTTACGACTGTTTTAAGTGTGCAAAGTAGACCCTTCTTTTTTTTCTGTGCGGAAATCCCCTCGGATACCACCCACCGGTGGCTATGTCGGACTCGAACCGACTAAAAACCGCACGCCGTCTCTGGTACCAGTAGCCAGGAAACCAGGTGTACCCTAGAAAGGAAAGCCCTGGTACACAAAGTAGATCCTGCCTAGCCCTCACACATATAAAAGATCTTTACACAGTTTATAAGTACTCCGTCATATCCCTACCTCGGGAAAATCAAGAAAATGTAGTTTTAATTAAGAAAAACATTATCAATACCAACGGTTTTAAATCGGAAAAAAAAATTGGTTTTAAACGATTTTTGCGTTTTAAACAGATTGGTTTAATTGGTTTTAAACCGGCCTTACATCTGTAGTTATAGCCCAACTTTTGTTTGTTTTGCATATAGGAGGTCGTGACAAACGGTGCTTGAGTTTGGTAGTCGCTTTCCACATGTATTTAAATACTAAACAGCTGCTTCTACTGCCCTGTTTATTTTGGGTGGTAAGCTAAGCGAAGCTGAGATTGACTCTCTGAAGCTATTCCGTTTTTCATTTTACACTTTTTGCACGTTATGAGTACTAATAACAATGAGGGGTGCAGAAAATAACATACTATTTACTACATTTGATTACCCTGTTGATCTTGCTTTTTATTATGTAGTGTTTAATGTTTAAGGGTTACTTTAGCTCGACTGGTGATATTTTTATTTAAATTGCCGTTTAGTTATTACGCAGGTTTATTTGAGACAGAGAGTGGACTGTAAATTTTTAGATATACAAAGTATATACAAAGCTTATAGTATAAGCTAAATACATATATAAGCCATACAAAACTAATCAATTATGGCAGTAGAGCGGCAGAACTAAAGGTCGTGGGTTCCACTGCACCAAGAACAAATGACTGAACAATGTGATGAGCACGATCATTTGTTTTGAGTGTAGATGTAATTTATCTATAATATGCATGTATTTAGACATATTTATTTATTTATTTACTTCGGTTGTTATCAACTGGCCGTGTGTAAGATGTGTCAAGTTATTATTATTACCTTCTATTTAGAAAAACTATATTTCTGAAAGAGATCTCAATTCATTGACAAAATATACATTAAAGTATGCGACGGGAAAAGCTAGTGGTTCAAAAATAAAACAATAAATAATTATTATACAATGTTTGTTTATTGAGTAAAGCCAATAGGCTATGGTGCTGTACAGTAGTCGCGGGAGGGGGGGCACGCGGCTACAGGGTGAGGCCACCCCCTCCCCCCCCCCTACGCTGTATACGTGTGACATACAATACGTGTACATCACACACCTAAATACAGTATTCTATGTGAGTAGAATAAACGACCGAGTGAATATGAACCTTAGACGGCGAGGCAGTGACCTGCGACAATATTGCTGATTTAAGAATACATTTGCTAATATATATTATGCTACTTTGTGTTTATATACTACAAGAGGATATTTCATATTCACTTCGTATCGTAGTTATAAGAATTAGTACAATATAATTCCATAATACAAAATGTACAAGGGTTTCATAAAAGGGTACAATACTTATCTAAAACAATAACATCGAATACGATTAACGGACGGTCGAAATACATAATTCTAATTTTGGAACACTTTACAGGTTACGAACAAATATATAAAAAAAAAACAATGTAAAATCATAGTAATATTTAAAACAAACAAAATTATCACATAAATGGAATTATTAAGTTACACAGAGGCGTGATACGCTCTCACGCACGAGGCCACGAGGGCCGGGGGGTGGTCGTCGAGCACTGAATGAGCACGCTCACCACCACCGTACGACACTAACGCTAGTATGATACACTTATATTACATGTACTTGTATCCCACGCAGTACACGAATACGCCCCGCTACACAAATATACAGACTTGTGGTTAAGGCACGGACGGCTCGCCGCGCCCTGCGCCCGCGCAGCACTCCCAGATAACTTGCTATCACCTTGTAACTACTGACGATGACAGAATAAGCTGCCCTAATCTCTACACGTTGCTGATATTTACGATTTACATAACTATAGCCGGACATGTGTCGAGTGTGTCGGCGACGGTGGGGGGTGTGCGGGGCGGGCGGGGAGGGGCTGCTGTGGCGGAACGAGACACGTCTTTACTACAATGTAATTTAGAATGTTGCACGCTTTCCATAACATAGTGTACACTTACATCTAGATACAAAACTGCCGGCAGATCGGCGTCGACTCTGTGACGTCCAGTCGACCGTTAAGTACATAGTCCCGCTGTAGTCGGTTCGATATATAATATATATATTAAAATTGATTTCAGTATGTTATCACAGTGCATAATTTCAATATAACTACATACTACAAGTGTAGGCGAAACAGATCTGCCGACGACGTGGAGACACTGCGCTGGATGTTCTCCCATCGTTTCTTTACTTCTCATCTTTCGATATGTTCTGACGGACTAAGAGAAGAGAAAGTTCAAGAAATGAACAGGTTTAATAGATATATAAAAAAAGGAAATATTGACGATTATACAATAGTCGCAATACACTTTTAGAAATATTGAAACGACGCGAGAACCAACACAGCGCCATACTTACAACTAACCTATATACTAGTGCTAACCTGTGGCGTCGCTCGCGGCGACAGTTGACTATTCAATAATAAATATTTTCCTCTTAAATATCTACACAATGCGAACACAGTACGTGGAGAGTCGACTTACGTGTCAACTCCTCGGCCACGTGTCAATAATACTGGATCTACATTACATTACTGATATTGTATTTAAGTACATTTATCCCGTGATTTGTTTACAATGTACTAGAACACTTATATGTATATAAAAAATTACATTTCTCAATCTCAGGCACTCTGTTTCAATTTGTCAATATAACTCCATTAATTTCATACTAATATAATAAAAGACGCTTTAGACAGATATCGCCTGAACACTTCGTATCAAAATAGATGAACTCTTAATCTACAATATAATTAAATACAAATTTGTCATTTTTATAAAAAATGTACATCCCTCGGTCGTGGGGTGTCCGCGAGGGCGCCACTGTCGTCGAAGATCACGTTAAGTACATCAAAAATATAAAAAGGCTAGCTCCTATATAAAAACCCGTATAATCGGAGCTCGTTTCTATTTAATAAGCCCCAGATCTCTGGCACACAGTGGCACATCACGCGGAGCGTCCCCACTCACACAATACTTATATAAGTACTAAATAATTCGTACACAGTAAGGAACGCGGAGGGAGCGTCGCTGAGGCTCGTTCAGCTGCCCTCCTCACTCTTATAAACATTAAGTCACACACGCGCAAGCTCACACACACACAAACATGATGAGCTTCTTTATTTCTTGTCATTTCCTAATTACTTTGTTCAGATTTTGCTGATTACTTCAGGATCTGAAATTATTAAAAAATAGGTTACAATTGTTTTGTCAAAAAAGTTTGGTAGACTGTGAATTTTACATTAAATTGTTGCAAAAATTTGAATTTTTTATTAACATTTTTAATATTTAGATTTGCTTTGAAATGTGATTATCATTTTTATAAACTCCTAGATAATGTTGTGCCGGTTAAATAAATTATAGAGAATACAAGGTCAACAAAGTTAAAGTAAGCTCGTACAAAGTTCAATCATCAAAGTTAACAGTCAAAAGAAGCACACAAAATAAGGTTTTATTTGTAAATTTGATGTATGCGTGTGTTCGTGATTGTATGTATGTATGAGTGTGATGCTTTTAGTCAAACTTACTTTACCTCCCTAATATCAATAGGGTAGATGATTGATTATGATGACTATTAAAATAATTTTCCACTTTTTAAATTTAATTCGGTTTCATGTGTTACTTTAGTGTTAAATTTAATCGGTAACAAAAATACTTAGCCTGCGAGCTAAGTAGTCTATATCGTTAGAGAGGGGAGGAAGCAGGAACTGACCGGCGGCGCTATATGAGGCGCTCCTCGGGCGGCGGCTTGAGCGCGTGCTGCATCTTCTCGGCGCGCGGGTTGCAGTACTCCTGTCCCGAGGGCGAGTAGGTGCCGCGCGTGGCTCGCTTGCGGCGGGCCTGCGCGCCCAGCCCGCCCAGCGCCGCCGCGCCCAGCGCCAGCCCCACCAGCGCCGCGCCCACGCCGATGAGCACGGCCGACGAGCTGTCGCCAGAGCCCGACGCGCCCTGCGCCACCACCTGACGCGAATCGAATTCAATTCAAAAATAATTACAATACATTTTTTAATAAATATACAAATAAAAACTAGCTGTGTGTAATCCCGAGAAAACTCAAAATGTCTCAAAGAACATTACTTCCACGTTATATCTTCTTTGGAACGAATATACAACATACATCGATATATGACCACACCTTCCGGTAACCCAATAGGATATAATCCATCATCGATTGACTTTATATTAAAAAAAAAAACAGCAATAAAATATATGTCACTGATAGCGTCTTCTGGACAAAGGTATTTCAAGAGTTTCTCTCTTCTCTTCTTTAACCACGAAATTCCACAACCGAACAACTTAAACTGAAAATAATTTACTTCATAAATGTAAGGAGAGAAGGAAAACTTGACACAAACCCAATACCAACCCGACTGGCCAGCGTGGCATAGTAGGCCAAAACCTCCTTTCTAAGAAGAGGACTATGTCCAGCAGTGGACTATTAAAGGCTGTTGATGTGTGATGATAATAATAATATTAACAACTTCACACATCTTACACACCGCAGTCTGATCCCAAACTAGGCAGAGCCTGTGCTATGGTAACCAGACTGCTGATAAACATAATTATATATTTTTAAATACATGCACATTATAGATAAAATACACCCAGACACAGAACAAATGATCGTGCTCATCACACAATTATTTGTCCTGGGTGGGAATCGAACCCACGAACTCCGGCTTAGTAGTCAGGGTCACTAACCACTAGACCAACAGGCCCGTCGAAATGTAAGTCGATTACTAGATACCACTTTGTCAACATTAAAATTTCAGTCTCAAAATATATTTTATAAAATAAGAAAATCAAACTAATATACTCGTCCTACCGATCGATAGTGATCTTTTGTGTTTGTAACCAGCATTGGAGAAGCTGCGAAGGTCGGGTGATGTAACGAGTGGTCTGAGTCATTCGTACAATAGAAATTGTAATGTATGTAATGATAGATTACCTGTTGCGAGCAGTTCTTGCCTCCCCAGCCGTCCACGCAGTAGCAGATGTAGTCAGTAGTGGCCGCGCAACGCTGTTCACATTTGGCGCCGTGCAGACACGGGCCCGTGCGGTTGAGTCCTTCGCCCTCCTCCGCGAAGCACGGGTCCTTCAGCGAGCACGCATTGCCGCAATAGCCTTCGGCGCACAAGCACGTGTACGAGCCGTTCAAGTTGAGGCAGTCGCCCGGCAGACACGACACCGCGCCCGTCGCGCACTCGTCCACGTCCACTTCGCAGCGTGCACCCGTCCATCCTGTCACAAAGCACAATATAGTGAGCATTTTTGCTATAACGTGCCACAGGGAAGCACTCTCGGACCGCTTTCTTTAAATCTCTAAACATGTATCTGACACGTGCTATAAATAACCAAACAAAATTCGATTCTTTCTACTTTGAAACAACAACTTGCCCGCAACAACGGTAGCAACAGTTGAAAACTGAATTGAACTACCCGAATTGAAACTCTATCTGTGCTGCTGTATGCAAAATCGAAGTGCATGTAAAATAAAACAAAAATAAATGCCGTTGTTTGTACTTATGCCTACGCTAAGTACAAAAAACGGCATTTAAGAAATTATATTGTAGTCTTATAAACTAATATGTTGTATCGATAATACAAAATCTAGGTCAATATAAATATTGCAAAACCTAATTCTCAAGTCTGAACGTGAATCATTATTATTGATACGAATTTCTTTATAATGACATAAAACACGTCGGAGTATTTTATTTATCGACAACTTTTTATCACTTTTTATTTTTTATTTTGCATTTATTTTTAATTACTTTCGCATTCATTGTAACCGAAACGTATATTCTACAAACTCTTTGTCAAATTTCGAGTGTTAAAACATTAGAAAGAATGGTAAGTAGTACCATCTTGACTAAAGATAGAGAGCACATGAAAGCCATATTTAATTTTACACAAATTCCTAACAAAAAATCTCTCGTCAGACTGCGGCACCTAATTAATATTCGATTATTGTCGCTTTCACGACACAATCTTGCTATAATTAGTTCATACCTTTGGTGTTGAAGGTTGTTTATCACAGAATTGTTCGATTGCGATAACGTTATCAGTACCTACACAATATAACAATGTTAAGGACCGCCTTACGATTCCTTGAAGGTCACCTATTTTTCTATGTCTATCTTCTATAGCTGTTCATCTTATACCCAGAACAACTGAACAATCAGGCTACCCTCGTGGAGCTACATATAAATGGGAGGTATTATTACGTCATTATACAATTTAGTTCCATGTAAGTCAAGTCAAGTCAAAACAGTATGTTTTTATTAATCGTCAAAACGACAGACGCGGTACATTTTTGTAATTTAATATTGATTTTGATGATATTAAAATATTAAATTAATAATGGAGGTCAACGCAGGCAGTGTTTTAATTTGTTACATTTAATAATTCATGTGAAATAATTTATTTTTAAACTAGAAATCTACCCTATTAATAAGCATCATATTTTATTACGGTTATAGGCAGAGATTCAGTTAGACGGCTGGGCAGTATCCAATTCAATTTCCAGGTACCATACATTCCCCAATCCATCAGTAAATATTCCTTTTTTACTGTTCTTTTCAATAATATGCTCCCAATTTTCCCATAAAATCGCTAACGTGCCTGGTGGTTTTCTTTTAATGGTAAAGAGGGGTAAATGAGCAGACGTGTCATCTTCAACTCAAAAGTCACAAGTGCGTTGCAGCCCTTTCAGTCCTCCCAACCAGAATCAAGGCGAGAGGAGAGGGTTTGAGTTCCGGAATAGATTTAGACCACAAAAACTAACAGAAGATTAAATATTATGTTCCGATAGTTACTTACACATATTTTTTGTCCGATGACAATGAAAAGATCAGGAAAATTATAGCGAGACCAGTTTTTACACGCCACCGATGACGTGAAGGTCGTTTCGTTTGTACACTATATTGGAGATACTTGCGAATAACTTAGCGCCGGCTACAACTGTAGTTGGATGCTATCAAGTAAATTTATCGTAAAAACATTCGTCGTAAATTCGATTCTATTCCAAGTAACTATGTACATTTATTCCTGTTCTAGAGCAAAAATTACTTTCTCGGGGACATGCTAAAGACCTAGAAAGTCTTTTGCAATAGACCCACATGTTACGGCACACAGTGTGGTGTTAGTTGATTATATTCCAGCATACCTCCTTACCTGAGCCCTGATAAGGGTTTCCACACGAAACAAAAAGAGCCCACAGAGCTTGTAAGTACATAGTTAGTGTCTAGACAGTAGGGTGCAATATTACATCAGAGAATTATGTTTAATTATTTTGGCAGAACTAATATCACAAAACGACTTTAAAAAAAACATTTTTAACGACGAGCTTTCATAATTACATACACGAGCTAAACATCAGTGAATGGTACTCCCATTTTGTATGTTTTTAAATACTCGTATGTGATATAATTATTTTTAGAATTACTTTTTTTTTTAATTTATTTATTTACTGTCATCCAAACTACACGCAAAATTTCAGAATTATCACTTAAGAATGACTGCTTTAATATTCACTTGGGAAATTGGACCTGAACAAACAAAGGTATTTCTGGAAAGGAAATTCCTTTCCATTAAAATTTAACTGATTGAATTTCATTCATATTACAATAATTGATGCAAATACAATGCTGGTACGCAATGAGGTAAAACTTGCGGCAGTGAAAAACACGGTCAATGACGCTCACTTACAGGAAAATAGTTAAACGTTCATTTTATAGTAAACTATCCCAATTGAATACTATTATATTATTTATTGTCAAATCAAAACAGTTACTCTTCATAAACCAACAACTGTATTCTTGTGTTTAATGCAATAATGAGTTGTGACGTCACAACTCCCCATTCCCCAATTACTTTTAACATTGAATGTAGTTTTTCACAGTTTTAAGTCATAGTTATGAGAACTGCGAAATTTATTTGAAGTCTGTTAAGTGGGTCACTTGACACATTACAAGCATAAACAGGAATAATATATAATTTAATAAATAAATAAATAAATAAATAAATTTATTTGGGGTTAGGCGTAGCGAGTTACTGAGGATCGTAGTTAATTATCATTACAAGAATATAATATGTACGAATTGAAGTAACGACCTGGTCGTGGAACACTGACGGGTTACCATAAGATATCTTCGTTTGCGAGTATTGCCATGTTTAGCATAAAAATTATCAAGGGAAATTATATAAATATCTTTTAATTTGTAGCGTAAGGGATTAATTGATACTGACACAAAGGAAAAGACGCATCTAATGTGGGTATAGACAAGCTTCTACCAATCTATATTGTCCTGATGCTACCACACTGCAACTACTCAACTTAGACCAAAAATGTACTGTGTCATACTTTCGATAAATGTTCACTATAATAACTATAGTTTAATTAGTCTAAAAAACAAGCTTTGATCTAAATTAAAAGGTAAAGAAAAGTTCCAATATACTTCTGCTAGTTTCATCAACAAGTCATCGTTACAGGACTAGTCCAAACGAATGACATGAAACATACACTTAGGGAATTACAAGTAGCCACTGAAAAATCCACCATCCATCTGCTGACTCTATCATCAAGTTAGCTCTAAGATATTAAATTATAGTATTGTCTTCCATAGAAAGCTTCGTTTCAATGCGACGGTTAAGTATGTTAGGTAGGTTTTTTGTTTACATAAGATGAAGTTATTAACAGCGTTTTTACAAGCGCTATTCTCCTTCTCCTCTGACATTTTATAATTGAGGACTAAGTAAACATTTGAAAATTGATAACGAAAATGATTCGTGATACCTATTAACAACACTAATATCACTCGGATCATCGTCTCGAACACACTGTCATCACTATATCACAATACACATCACCATGTCAAAACACACATCACGACAAAGCGTTACTAAAAGTGATCATATAGTTAATAATTCAGCGCGGAAGGAATTGTTTGAACGTCGTTCGCGTCGCGTCGTCCGCGCAAGTGCGACTATCGTGGTCAGTGATTCACAAACTGCGGTGATGAGTTTCTTAGCAGCTGTCGTCCCTTTTGTAACTACAAGGATGAGTGTATTGTTATAATTATTATTTATTAAATGTTAGCGAGCCTTCCACGTAGTGACATACCTACTGGATCCGACATATTGTTTTCTTAAGCATTTGTAATAGTTATGTGTAAACTGTTTACTGTGGAACACAAGCAATGTGTTGTATTAATATTTCGTTTGTTTTTTCTAAATGATGTTGTCATAATTATCTCAGTTTGTTAAATAGTTAACATCTATGTTTCATACTGGTGCCACAGCTTCTTCCGCCTTCGCTACATAAATATATTCCCGCCTGAATTAGCTTTTCTAATGATAATGGATGATTTAACGTTATGGCATCGACGTTTTACTCCTTTTAGAAGCAGCAAGGTATACAATGTTTCCTTTTTTATGGTATAAGGGGGAAAACGAGCAGACGGGTCACCTGATGGTAAGCAACTACCGCCGCCCATGGGCACCTGCAACTCAAAAGTCACAAGTGCGTTGTTGGTTCAATTCCGACATCTCACCAGCAACCAGCCTCACCGTTTGCTCTAGCGAAGGGGGTTTTCCCAAGTTTCAAGTGTTTCTAATGGTAAATTATTTAGAAATATTTATCTGTCTTTTTAATAGAAGAATTGATACATAGATACTCCTCGCAATATTCCAAGTAAATACCTACCTAACTGTTACGCTTGCAATCATCCGAAGAAAACACCGGAGGCGTAAATAATTAGTTTTAAAATAATGAACTTGTAAATGAATTAAGGTCAAATGGATTTGTATAACGTTCACATTTCATTGTAACAACTGCTTAGCCTGTTCTCGTTATATGTTAGCTCTATATATTTCTGACAAGTTTGGAGATCAATTAAAAAGCTTAGAAACGATCATAGATAACTCCTATATTACGTGGGTCAATATTACTTCACCTTTCTACCTTTCAGTTTGGTTTTCTATAAAAAGCTTGTTTTTTTTTCATTGTTTTGGCACAGATTTTGTTTGACAAAATTTATTTTCTATTTTTTAGTTTGGTTTTCTATAAAAAGCATGTTTTTTTTTTAATTAGTGTATTGTCATCGGTCCTCGATATATCTACAAAGTTTGAACGAATTCTGACCGTTTAAAGTCAGTCAAAAGCACGCCCAAAGGAGTCGGTTACAAACAAACATACAAACATACAAGTGAAGCTAATATAAAGCGTGTTAAAAAGATATGCTTTATAGTTTTTAAGGCCAAATTCCTCAGCTAAAATTTATTTGATGTCAGAAATTATTTTTTTATAACCAATTGCAAAAATAACGTAATCGCCTTGTACAAGTTTGTGAGCCAGTGTCCTGTTATCAGCGCCGATGTTATCAGCTACTGATGACGCGATGGCGACCCGATAAGATACCAATACAGTTGATACAAACACATTCACATGTGTCTATGTGTGTGTATTCACATGTCGTTCCCCGCATTATTGTTACTGCTATTCCCTAAGAACCGTGGCGCAATGTTTTGAAACTATTCGGTTATGTAATGGAAAATATTTATTTTAAGAGATAAGCTATATCGAAAGCATAGATAGAGAATTTGGCCGACGTCCCAAATCAAACAAAATATTGGGTCATAGCGATATCAGTAAACATTTATGAGTATTAATAGATTAATTAACCTAGCTGTGGAGTTAATTAAAAACAGTATTTTAGGTCATACAATGGTTTAGGTCATTTGACTGCCTTGGGTGGTGCAGTGGTAGCGTATACGACTGCTGCGCCTGTTTATATGATCTGCAAAAATTTGTTTCGGAGTTTGGGTGTTTTCTATGTATATATGTATGTATTTACAAAAAAAAGTATATAAGTATTTTATCAGTCAATCTAGCTTTCATAGTACAAGCTCTGCTTAGTTTGAAACTAGATGGCGTTGTGTGTTAGATGTCCAAATATTATTAACGGCTACCTACCTGCGGCTATCTGGGATTCGTACACCGTCTGCATTCCACGAACAAGAACATCATAATAAACAAATAAGTAAACAATATTAAATTATTATATAGCATTGGTGGCAAACGAGCACACGGGTTACCTGATGGTAAGCGAGTACCGTCGCACATGGACACCTGCACGTGGATATAGGCCTAAGTGTATTATCAGGATTAGATGTCGGTTATTTGACGACCGGATGGCATAGTGGTTTGTGTAACGGACTGCTATTCCAAAGGTCGCGGGTTCGATTCCCGCTCAAGTCAAACATTTGTGTGCATGAACATTTAATGTTTGATTTGGTCTGGGTGTTTCTATGTATAATAAGTATGTATTTACAAAAAAAAAGTATATATGTATTTATATCAGTTGTCTAGTACCCATTGTACAGGCTCTGTTTAGTTTGGGGCTAGATGGCGTTGTGTGAATGTGGTACAATATTATTATTATTATATTATTATTCTATTACAGCGTTTAATATGTGACTATTTAGAATTAGTTATGGACGTATGAATCACACATTGATAGAAACATATGTATATGTCTAATACTGCGGTTTGGTTTACGACAATGACGTGTAATGATGGTGCTACTGACTCATGCGAGAGAATATACTACACAGATATATGGCACAAGTAGTATTCAAGTCCATCTGAGAAAGACAAAGATATGTATTCGTGACCGTAATCATTTTCTCCTGCCGGATCTTGAATAGATCTTTACATTGTTATATTTTATATTATTGTTAAGTTCTAAATTTATTTTAATAGGTTAGGTTTAAGTGGTCGCCACGCCGCTTTCTGTGTTGTGGGTCAAACCTCATACAGGACGACACTGTGTGATCCACAAGTTGTTGTTCTGAGTCTGGGTGTTCTTTGTGTCCGTTTCATGTATGTGTGTAAAGTCCCCCGCGACACAAGAATAGGTTCCTAATGCGTTGTCCTTTTCCAAAAAAAATTTTTTTTGCTAAAATTAAATTTAAATTAAGGTTATCGCGGTAAAAACCAGCCTACGTTACTCGCTGATAATGTAGCTTTCCATTGGGGTAAGAATTTTTAAAATCAGTTTCGTTGTTTAGGCATGAAAGCGTAACAAACAAGCAAACCAACAAGTAAACAAACAAACCCACTTTCACATTTATGGACGGATAAAAAATATTCCTGGTAGTAGGTTTTTTAGATTATTAAAAGTAAAAGTTGTTATTCGACAATCTTTCTAACGAGATTAAAACATAAATCTTGTTAACACTTGTATTAAAATAATTATTTCAAAACAGTGCAAGTCAAAACGTGCTAGCATTCACTGATAAAAGATAATCCGTAATCGTGTCCTTATCCGCGGATATTCATTGTTTATGATCCGGTACATCACTATTGTAAATACACCCAAAGCTCTGCGAATGTTTCATAACAATCGGTTATTAGATGTTTTGCTATCTTCTACACGTGTTGAGAGTTACTGCTTTACTATTGAGCGTTGCCAAATGCAAAAAAAAGAGTGGCATTCTAGGCGTGTAAGGGTGGGGGGGGGGGGGGGGGGCTCACCGGTGCCGTCGCAGTCGCAGAGGAAGTCGCCCTTGGCGTCGAGGCAGCGGCCGCCGTGCAGACACGCGGCGCCGCCCGCCTCCACGCACTCGTCGCGCTCCGTCTCGCAGCGCCGCCCCACGAACCCCGCCTCGCACGAGCACTGCGCCGTCTGACAACGATCACACGTTTTAACCTCCACCGCGACTATACAGAATCTTAATTATACATCTACGTAGTACTTGTTCGACATGGAATATTCACTAAGTTGTGGCAAGTAATTTACTATACCATACCTATAACAAAAACAAGGACCTAACATGCTCCCTTGTGGTACCCTACACATTAGGTGCCCTACATGTGTGGTATGTGAACAAACCGTTTTTAATTTCGGTATTTTTGTAATTTCGATCTATTTTAGTCATTTAATTCTTTTTCCTTCTTTTATTTATTTTTACTTTTATAACGACACAATGTTGTAAGCGTAGTCAGAAGTCTATGATGTGTCACAAAAGCGTTCCTATTGTGATGTGAAAATATTTTCGAACTCGCTTATGCTGGGGTTGTCTGTTTAGTTAGGTACTGATTTAATTTTATGCATTATGTATTGTGTTATTGCTTAGTTTCATTTCCGTGATTGTAAACTTAAGTAGCAGTTAATTACTGCTATTGATAATATACCAAATCGTCTAATCTATTTTTACAGATTTGTATTTTGTAGCGAGTAAGATTCTGCCTTTGTGTTGGAGGGACATGACACCCGCTCCTTCATAATATCATAAATATTCTATGTTCGTTGAATCTGTTTTAGTGTGTTTTTGAAGATAGTAGAGTAACACTTGAATTAGTTTTCATCAATCAATCAATTAATTTTATTATGGTTCGGTTTTCTTTCATCATCATCATCATCATCAACAGCCTTTACTAGTCCACTGCTGGACATAGGCCTCTCCTTAGAAAGGAGGTTTGGTTATCCTTGCATAGGTAGCTTGCATAAGGTAGCTTCCCGTTCTTGTACGTTTAGATCTTTCAAACCACGCAATTGATTTTAATGCAGTGTTCATCAATAGACTGATAAGAGAAATACTGCATCTGTGCGAAGCTAGGGCGCTCTTTTGTTTAATTTAAATTTTAATTTACGAGATACTCATTACGACCTAGTTTTTTCTGTATTCAACTTTCTTTAAACAGTTAAATTATTGGCATATGTTAAGAGAGGGAGAGGAAGTACTGTTCACATTTTACTTCAATAAAGGTGACTCTTACGTTAAATTTCTTTATATTTAAATCCCTTCTATAGTAAAGTGAACGAAGAGTGTTTAGTTTACCTTATTGTCGCAGACTCCGTGCACGCAGGGCGTCACCTCGCAGAATGCGTATTCGCAGTACACGCCCTCGAACCCTTCTTGACATAGGCATGTAAAGTTGTTACCGGTCGGTGGATCTAGGATCAAAATATACATTCTATTATCTGCATAATATATGTCGTAACAGAAGGGATTTTCCTTTTTTGGGGTAAAACCTTTCATACGAGCTTATCAGTTTTAGGTACTTCTGAGTTTGGTGGGCGAGTTCCCCCCCCCCAGTACGTACCGGGCGCCAGGTCCCTGCAGGCGCTGGCCCCGCGCGCGCAGGGCCGGTGCGCGCACGTGCGGTCCCGCGGCAGCGCGCACGTGTCGCCGCGCCACGCGCCCGTGCACGCGCACGTGAACCCGCCCGCGCCGTCCGTGCACGTGCCGCCGTGCTGGCACGGCGAGGACTCGCACTCGTCGATGTCGTACTCGCACCTGTCGACCATACACGAGTATTATACTATTATATATTGCACGCATAACATGTCATTTCCATAATAGCTTAGTTATTATACACGGGATCACAGAACGGTAGAATCTTAAAAGGGCCTAGAATTACTCCATGAATTAGCAAATATCTAACTAAAACCAATTTTTTAACTACTGTTAAATGACCCGGTGAACTTTGTATCGTTTACATCTATTTATGTTTACATTTTATAAATACTCATACTTGACAAACAACAAATATACCAATTCTTTGTCATAGTGACAATAATACATGATAATCTTAATTGTGGATTTATATATATATTTATATATATATCCTACCCCTCACTTAAAAAAAACCCAAGTGGACATCAACTGGAACGAACATCAAACGTTTGACAGTTAGACAAAATTTGTATTGTATAATAATAAAAATATTTTTACTATTTTCTTTACAATTAACCAAATCAATCCAGTTGTCCTTGAGTATTGGTAAGATTAACGAACAGCAAAACAATATAGATATAACAAGCCTAACACAAATCCATTGTTCCAACATGTTGAGTATAAATGATTTGCTAATGAACAGAGAATCAGCTCACCGTTCTCCGGAGAAGCCGAGTGGACAGATGCAGGTGTAGCTGGCCACTCCGTCCTTGCAGGTCGCGCCGTTCTGACACTGGTGCGTGGCGCACTCGTCCACGTCGATCTACGAGATAAATACACGACACACTTTAGTATACAATAAATAAAAATATAGACATACCCTAAAATCAAAATATTTAGTTGTTACAATCCATATAATATTGTGGAGGAACGGGTGTCATGTCCCTCCAACACAAAGGGAGGATCCTCCGACCAGGCGAGGTGATCATGCCTGGCGGGCCGCGGCCCATCGGTTGATGTTGGGAAGTTGTATATACGCTAACCGGCGCGGGAATTCTTTATATCGCGATACAGGATTAGCAATTCTTATTTTAGTAGTTACTCCGTAGTGTTTCTTCATTAGATGGCGCTGTAGTATGTTTATGTATGGGAGTCGCCACAATATGAAAGATGTGATGTGAGGGTATACCTGGCAGTAGTCCCCCTCGTACCCTGGCGGGCAGGAGCAGGCGTAGGACGTCATGACGTTGACGCAGTGGCCACCGTTGGCGCAGTCGCTCTCCAGGCACAGCACGCAGCCCACGCCCGTCGTGGCGCCGTACGGACGCCCAGACCTGCAGCACCACACTACTTTACCAACTACATACTTTATACTCAAAACCTCACTTGTGTTATTGTCGTTGTACTGACAAAAGTAGCTACATTACATGTAAACGAAATTCAAATATAATAGTTGTAGAGTAGACTAGAAGAATATAGAGTATTATATATATTATAATTATAGAGTAGAAGAAGAGTTATAGAGTAGAACAGAATAGTTTCACATCATCATCACATCAACAGCCTTTAATAGTCCACTGCTGGACATAGGCCTCTCCTTAGAAAGAAGGTTTTTTATTTTACAGAATAGTTTATTGTACACCAATTCAGGATATTATCTATACAATAGATTTTTTTTTTTTTTTTTTATTCTACCACATTCACACAACGCCATCTAGTCCTAAACTAAGCAGAGCCTGTACTATGGGTACTAGACAACTGATATAAATACATATATATATATATATATTTCTAAATACATTATTATACATAGAAACACCCAGACCAAATCAAACATTAAATGTTCATGCACACAAATGTTTGACTTGAGCGGGAATCAAACCCGCGACCTTTGGAATAGCAGTCCGTTACACAAACCACTACGCCATTCGGTCAATATTCCTTTTATACATACAATAGTTATTATTGTAAAATACGCGTAGATTTAAATTAGATTTCTAATTAGTTGAAAGGTTTTTAAAGTTAGTTAGTTATTAGTAAAACAGTGGTGGTGGTACGTACAGCAGCGCGTAGTGGGGCTGCGCGGCGAGCAGCGCGGCGGTGTTGCCCACGAACAGCTCCTCCTCCGTGAAGAAGGGCAGCAGCAGCCCGCCCACGTGCACCGCGCCCATGCAACCCTGCATAACAACAAACGCTGCGTTCATTTCACATTACCAATCAAATCTAAATTATATTATTTTTAAACTTTGTCATTTCGGATTGCATAACAAATCCAATACGTAGCGGAACTTAAAATTATTGGAAAATTGATTCAATATAGAAATTTTCTTTTTAAAAAATATGGTTTTATATTCTTATTCTTTCTCTATCTCTTATTTTTTCTATAAATCATAAAATGGATACGACATTTTATTAAAAATTGTTAAAAAATGTGTAATTTTATACCAAGGATAAAATTTTATAAAAATATTATTATTTATTTAATAATATATAGTTGAATTAACAATCCTAAAGTAAAGTCATCTTTTTAAAATCAATAGTAAAAACTGTAAACATTACCTTGAAGAACTCCCCGGCTAGATTATCACCGATGACCTCCTCGCCCTCTGAGTACTCCCATACATTGGGGTCGGTGGAACTCTCCATCTGTATAGAAGAGTCAGTAGAACATTAGATACGATAAAAAAAATTACAAAAATAAAAATCGCCCTAAGTGGCAATGGGAGAGGTCTAGGTCCAGCAGTGAACTGCGATAGGCTGATGATGCCGATGACATACGATATAGAACAATATAAGATCATAACAATGAGAATACCATATCTTTAGACAGTAATTAAAAAAAAAAAATTACAATATTGAGTGTAATGCAAGTGAAGGAAGAATTAAAGAGTCAAATACCATAGCAGTGGCCACGGAGTTGGGAGTGGTGGTGGGCGGCAGGCGCGAGTGCTGGATGCCGCCGAGGTGGATGCGCCCGTCCATGACCAGAGCCTGCCACGCGCGCGTGTCGATGGGCGCGCTCAGCGAGTTGTCCTCGTGCCCGCTCGGCTCGATGAACGTTCCTGGAAGACATGAAGTTTCATCATCATATTTACTCATATCCGACTTGTTTTGTTTGTTAACCGAGTTATAATGTATGAATATAGAGCAGTTTATATATCCGTGTGGTGACGGATTACGGAGGCGTATGCTGACCCCTGAGCGTGTCGGCGGCGAGGCTGAAGCGCAGCGTGGTCCAGTGCAGGAGCGAGTGCGAGGCGCGCAGCCGGCGCAGGCTGGGGACGGGCGCGGGGCCCAGGCGCCACTGCACGCTCACCTGCTCCTTGAACACGCCCACCGTGAACCACGACCCGCCGTTCTCTGCGTGGAACAGCGTGCCGCCCGTCTTGCTCCTGACGAAACACGACAGACATTGCGTTATCTACCACACACTTTATTATAAATTTGTATTTGTTCTTGATTCTTAACCAACAGAGAAACCGTTCTCCATGTTTTCAGATATATTTGTGATAACTGAACCGTTTTTAAATATGACATGATGTTTTACAGCTGAAACTATCAATAAATCGTCTACCCAATACAAAAAGAATGTGATGAATGATTCCGAATGAGTACACAATAATTAATAATAATTGAAAATGACAAAGCTAATATCCTGAGCGAAAAACGACTAAACCTAGCATTGAATTTCTTTGTTTCAAACCATTTTATTTTTCCATATTTGTTAGCATATTGTCAGTATTTTGTTATTTTTTTGTTCTTATTTAAATAATATTATATTCCGTCACTCAAGCATGGTGTTTTCACTACCCTAGGATGGGCACATACAATATTTGTATTATTATGTAAGCTTCTTATATGTATGTTATCACATCCAATTTGTAGACCATAATAAGTAATATTTATACGCATAATAATAATATAATTGGTATAATATATTACGTGGTTCATCTTTATTTAAATTATATTTGGAGTATAAATTGATATAAAACTTTCTAGTACTATTTATAATATTCATAACATAAGTGATGTCATTAATTACGTCGTTTTGTTTGCATTAGTTACACATATCACTGAAGGCAGCCATATTTCTTTATAGTAGTACTAAATAGTATATACGAGGGAGTCTGAAAGTAAATGGATACTGGATGAAAAGTTAAGAAGTAATAGGTTATCTTGGTTTGGACATGTCATGCGGAGGGATGAGGAAAATGTGGCGAAGAAAGTTTTAGGTATGAGAGTTGAAGGGTACAAGAGAAGAGGCAGACCGAAGAAGAGGTGGATGGACTGCGTCAGGGAGGATATGGCTAGGAAGGGAGTAAACAGTGAGATGACGCATGACAGAGTAGAATGGAAAAATCATACATACTGCGCCGACCCCAAATAAAATTGGGAAAAGGGTAGGTAGATGATGAGTACTAAATAGTGAGCTATAGAAAAAAATAACATTAAAGTTTTTGCGTTCCATGTATCATTAGATATCTCGCCTACCGTCTAATGGCCGGGTCTAACATCGCACGCGTTCAACGGTCGAATCAAATAGCGAACGCTTTCGTGGCTTCCTGTTACATACTTCCGTCCCCTTTCACATGTTGTTACACATTAAAAATGTAACCTGTAGGTGATGGTGAGCGACTCGGGCAGGTCCCGCGGGGGGGCGGGCGGCGCCAGGGCCGGCGCCAGGGGGGGGGCCCGCGCCGGCACGCGCAGGCGGTACGTCAGCGTCGTGTTCGTGCCGTCGAACGTGGCGTTCGACACGCACTCGTACCTGTAACACAACACGTACACGTTACACCACCTTACTGATAGTGATGTGAAGGTCTGGGCTCTTTTAGGACGACTGAACTAAATTCCAATTATAGGGTATCTTCTCAAACCCTTCTAAAATACATTGTAGGGGTACATCTATGAGGGACTTTAGAGCACATATCTATCACATCAACAGCCTATACTAGTCCACTGCTGGACATAGGCCTCTCCTTAGAAAGGAGGTTTTGGCCTGGCCACGCTGGCCAGACGAGTTGGTATAGGGTTTATTTCAAGTTTTCCTTCTCTTTGCAGTGCTGTTGTCCTGCTTAGTTTGCTCCCTTAGTCGGCTCTTACGACACCCACGGGATGCATTGGGGTGGTGACAATTTGTATTCTTAATCCGTCACCACACGGACTAATAACACAGAAATATACCTTATTACATCACGACACATCTCTCCGCTCACTTACCCGGCGTCTAAGTTGCGACAGTGCGAGTTGAGGGGGCAGCCTTGCAGCTGGCAGAACTCCACCTCGGAGCACTGCTTGCCCTTGTAGCCACGAGGACACTGACACCTGTGCAATTAGTAAAAAACATTATAAGAAAGAATTATTAAAAAATCAACATTGCATAGTTATTGATTCATATTCGTATCATTGCTTATGTATCACAACTAAAAGAAATAAACATATTTTGTCAAGTTTCAGAGGAATTCTAAATTGTAATATTAAATACCGACTATTGAATATAAAAAAAACGAATTACATACTAAAGACTTTTGACATCTGTTTCATTTGTGGTTCCACATACAATATCCTCTCTTTAAAGTATTTTGTTTAATAAAAATGTTTAAAACAAGTGATTTAAAAAACAAGGAATAACGAATTCAAAGTTGGGACAAGTAGAAGTAAAGGGGTAATTATATACCTCACACACGGCCATCTGATCCCAAACTAGGCAGAGCCTGTACTATGGTAACCAGAATGCTGATAAACATACTTATATATTTTTAAATACATACATATTATAGATAAATTACACCCAGACTCTCTGTCTGGGTAATTTATTACAAACTAGCTGAGACCCGCGGTGTTACCCGCTTTTGTTGTTATAACCGCGGGCAACGCCGCGGGGCGAAGCTAGTCTAAAAAAAGTAGCCTAAGTTACTCCTTATGTCATCAGCTATCTGCCAGTGAAAGTCTCGTCGAAATCGGTCCAGCCGTTCCAGAGATTACCCGGAACAAACAGACAGACAGACAGACAAAAATTGAAAAAAATGTTATTTTGGCATATGTACCGTGTAAACATACATATGTATTTAGTAAAAAGCGGTTATTTTAATATTACAAACAGACACTCCAATTTTATTTATTTGTATAGAGTATAGATGAGCCAATACGGCAAGTAAGGCCAGTGCTACTTACGTGTAGTCGTTCCATGTGTTGGTGCACGTGGCGTTGTGGTGGCAGGGGGCGCGCGCGCACACGTCGTCCGTCACGACCCCGCGCAACACCCCTTGCGGGTCCAGCGTGACCACCCCGAAGGGGGGCGGCAGCTGCAAGCCCTCTACGCGCAGAGGGAAGAACTCCACGATCGTCACGTTCACGCCGTTCGATATCTGACGACAGTTAAAATCGTTCAAGTAAAAGTAAATAAACGCAAATTTAAATATATCCTGTCGTTTACACAATAATGTTTTAATTTCAGAATAATTAATTTATCGACTGCACGGATGGCGTAGTGGTTTAAGCGGTCGCCACGCCGCTTCCTACCACGCCGAGTGTTGTGGGTTCAAACCCCACATGGGACGACACTTTGTGTGATCCACAAATTGTTGTTCTGAGTTTGGGTGTTCTTTGTGTCCGTTTCATGTATGTTTGTAAAGTCCCCAGCTACACAAGATATATTCCTAATGCGGGAGTTGTATTTAAAAAAAAAAAAAAAGAATTGCTGCAAAGTCGGTATATAAATTATGTACTGTAGGTATCTGATATATCGTCGAGTGTAATTTAAGGCTCTAAGAAAACAGACAATATATGTGCGTGTGAATTTTTTAATACCTGCACATCCTGTATGATGCCCTTGAAGTAGGCGGCGTCATCGGCGTCGTTGGGTGGCGTATCCGGAGTAGGGGCGGGGGTGGGAGCGGCGGGGGCAGCTGGGGTGGCCGCACCGGGGGCTGAAAGCGCGGCCGTGGGGGGCAGCGGTGGCTCGGCCGTAGGGGGCGTAGGGGCTGGCGGCGGCCCACCCAGGTACAGCACCTGATAAAATAATATTGTCGTACACCACATTCATAAACCTTCAACTGATCATCTATGTAAGTATGGATAGTAAAGAGTTTTGATGATTTGCTATTTATGTGACAAGAGATAGAGTGTGAGACCTGGGCATCGATCTGCTTGGCGGCGGAGATGGACTTGCGGAAGTACTCGGTGCCGTTGAGCTTGACCTGCACGAGCGTGGAGTTGCGCACCACCTCGATGAGGTGCAGGTAGCCGTTGTCGAGGCGCGTGCCCCCCACCGTGTAGTTCTCGGGCGTCTGGTTGAAGCGCAGGTGCACCAGCAGCTCGCCCCCCTCCAGCGACGCGCCCACCAGCGTCTCGTCCGTGGCCCCGTATCTGTGCACACGATTCTTTCAATTATATACATCTCTAGTTTCTAATCAATTGGCGTGCTTTTTTTTAACAGACAAACATAATAACTAAGATTATATTTAAGCAGTCATTTTGTAATTGTTTATGGTTTAAAATGAGCTATGTAATTCTGAAGTCCTTAGAATGGTATCAATGTTGAAAGGGTAAGTAAGCGTATGTACCTGGGTATAGATCCTAGATAGAAGATCTGTCCGGTGGGCTTGTGCGTGCGGATGAACATGGAGATGTCAAGGGCAGCGCGCACCGCACGCCGTGCCGGTTCCGATACTGCCACCTGCACGATGGAGTGCGGGGTCGCCGCTTCCTGTGTTTTCGAATTACATTTTAATCACTATTAAATCGTTAAAAGAACAGCTATGTTTATGTTGAAAAAATAACCTGTTTATATAAATATTGACAATTTTTAGTTAAATCTTTGAAATATTTTTAAATATGTGTAATATAACAATTTTAGTATTTAACAGTAAATATAGTAACAGATGTTCATTTAAATAATTACGTTGAGTCGTGTAATCTATAAAGCGTTATTTACAACAATTCAATCATGTCACGACAATTCTCAGTTTACGCTTCTTCAGCTCGTTAACATCACAGGTGGTGCTATGGGAAATTAAAGTAGTGTGTGTGTGTACGTATATAACTACGTCCGTGTGGTGACGGATTAAGAATACGGAATGTCACCACCCCTATTCATCCCGCGGGTGTCGTAAGAGCCGACTAAGGAGCAAACTACGCAGGACAACTGCACTGCAAAGAGAAGGAAAACTTGAAACAAACCCTATACCGACCCGTCTGGCCAGCGTGGTATAGTAGGTCAAAACCTCCTTTCTAAGGAGAGGCCTATGTCCAGCGGTGGACCGTTATAGGCTGTCGATGATGATGTTGATGTACGTATATAGTTAGCGAGTGAGGTCTGGTGCTAGACGACGTCGGGTACCTGTCCGAAGGTGGCGGGCGTGTAGTGGTACTGGCACGTGTGGCCCAGGTGCGGGCGCGGGCACGTGCACACGAAGCTGGTCCAGGCGTCCAGGCACACGCCGCCCGAGCGGCACGGGTTGGGCGCGCACTGCGGGCGGCGCGGGCACGACGCCAGCACGCCGCGCAGCACGGCCCGCCCGCGCACCGCCCCGCCCCCACCCTCCGCCTCGCCCGAGCCGCTCTCCTCCTCGCCCGCCTCGCCCGACCCCGCGCTCGGCTCGGTCGCGCTCTCTCCCGTCGCGTTCGAGTCCTCCGGAAGTACCTAAACGTTATCATTACACACGTGTTTTAACAGAATATTACAAAACTCAATAATTTAACCTAAAAGAAATGCCTTTCCGTGCTCGAATAACTTTATATATACGTCTCTAATAAAGATGATTAATTATTACCTCGTTTGCCTAAAATTTGTTCCTTGGAAAACGACGACCAAAAAGTTTACTTAAATTGTATCCGATCGATAAACAGTATTGAAATGTATTACCGTTGTACGTTTATATCTCTCCGCTTAAACATAACCGCTAGATGATATGTTACTCGTTAATGTACCGATAGTCAAAGTACAAATTATTTCAATTTAGCTAACTGTCACTTAAATAAATTACGAGATAAACCGATATATCCTACACCCGCGTGTGAGGCTCAACCCGTTAAAAATAGGTGGTTGTACTTCCGCACAGATATATAAGAGATTTTCGATACGTATTTATTTATTTATATATTTGGTTTGCTAAATACTTGACAAAACAGAGATTGTTGCCATCTACGACTTTAGAGTCTCCACAAGAGACGATTTCAAATCATATTATTTTTTTATGTAATAATATATTTAAATTTGAGAAAGAAATTAACAAACTGAAACTTCAATCAATACAATTGTGCAAACTACATAACATTACTAATACTTACTATTTTTTATCATTACGTTCATAAAAAACCAACATGTAGACACACAAATATTCGCACAGACATAAAAAAATGTAAGCAATCTCGATTACAGATATTTCATGTAGCAAAGAAACAAAACGCACTCACCCACTGTCCATTTACGACCACATCTTGGAAGCAGCCCACGAAAAAGTTGGGTCCGTGCGTGACCGTCGCGTACGAGGAGCCCGCCGTCCCCAGTCTGGTGGTGGGGAATGACGTCACCGACGAATTGTACACCTCGTTCTGGCTGATGGGGTATATAGTCTGTTCCTCGTTCGCAGCCAATACCAGGTGGGATGAGTTTATCGTGACGAACACTTTCTGCCACAAACTGTCGTTCAAATTAGATCCTATGAACACTCCCTCCCACTTGTTGAGTAGACTTGAATGTAGGTTGAGTCTTCCGTTAGACAGCTCCAGGAAGAAGTAGGTGAGCCCTCGGCCCATGGCCAGGAGACCGTTGCTTAGGGTCGTCTTGAAACGGAAGGATATGTCGTATCCTTCTTCACGAGATGTGTTTACTTCGGCGTAGCTGTTTTTCTCCAGAGACATCGTTGTTATCTGAAATTGATTTTTAAAAGTAGGTAAAATTGAATAAATAACTTTCACATGTAGTGAGAGTATTTTGAAAACCTAATCCAGCGTTTCGGAAATTAGCGGAAACAAATAGATAGAAAAACAAAAACCTAAGATAGAAAAACAAAAACCTAAAAAGTTTTGTGTGTTTTTCCAAATTTTATTCATTTGTGTAATGTTTGATGTAACCTATCTAGTATAATAAAACTAAGGATCATTGTAACACCATGCTAAAATCCTGCAGTTTGCAGGATTTGTTCTGCAGGCTGCAGAACAGGTAAGTAGTACATAAGGTGGTAGTGGTACCTTCTCGCAGGTGGTGCCGTAGTGTCCGGGCGTGCAGGAGCAGTTGAACCGGTGCTCGGTCTCGTCGTAGAGCCAGGGGTGGCACGTGCCGTTGTTGCGGCAGGGCGCGTCGCGGCAGCCCTGCAGCACCACGGAGCAGTTCTGTCCCCCCCACCCCGCCGCGCACAGACAGAAGTACGTCGCGCGACCGTCTATGCACTTGCCGTGGGCGCAAGGAGAGTACCTGATAAGAATACGAATCACACAATTCAGTACATAAACTTTATTCTTCTTACAAATTCTTGGAAATAATAGAAGTTTCTTTTTATAAAAATAATAAAAATGAATCGCCAAATGTGTTGCTAAGCGCAAAACTCGAAAGAGTCTCGACCAAATCCTCTAATCTTTTATTCATTTTTTCGTTAAGGCTCAAGGAAGGTTGTTAAATAATTTCTTTAAAGAAATGTGATCACTTTGAAATACGTTAATTAATTAATATTTTCTATTGAATTGTGAGAGGCCAATCACTTTTGACAGAACAAAGCTGAATTAATGAACCAAAAATCTTTTAAAATGATAGCATAACTGCATGTGACATCATAACTCTGATGGTCAGATAGTTCCCTTAAATAGGTTGCTTGTTATGCGGTTAGGCGACTCGGACTTTCGAGTTACAGGTATCTATAAACTATTCAAGCTTTTTAAATGACACCAAATAACCTGAACCTTAGTTAATATTCATCATCATCAACAGCCTTTACTAATCCACTGCTGGACAAAGACCTCTCCTTAGGAAGGAGGTTTTGGCCTACTATACCACGCTGGCCAGACGGGTTGGTATAGAGTTTGTTTCAAGTTTTACTCCCTTAGTCGGCTTTTACGACACCCACGGGATGAATAGGGGTGACGCTTTGTATTCTGAATCCGTCAACACAAGGATAATAGTAAATATTATTTCAACAATAAGTAACTACTGTATGCCTCTTTTTCGCACAAAGAAGAGCAGTAAAGTTAGAAAATGCATAATCTGTATTCAGTTATGTTAACGGCACATTAGTTACATCCCTACGTACTCCTACGCGCATGACCAACTGTGAGTGCGAGAGAGAGAGAGAGAGAGAGAGGGGGGGGGGAGAGAGAGAGAGAGAGAGAGGGGGGGGGGGGGGAGAGAGAGAGAGAGAGAGAGCCAGTGTCGTGAGCACGTACCTGGCGCACTCGTCGATCTCGTTCTCGCAGTGCTTGCCCTCGTAGCCGGCGAAGCAGTCGCAGGTGTAGCCGCCGATGCCGTCGATACACTTGCCGTTCTGTCCGCACTGAGAATTCTGGCACTCGTCGATGTTGGTCTCGCAACGCGACCCGTTCGTGCCCTTCACGCACACGCACTCGAAACTGATAAAAAAAAAACAATTTAAAAATAACTTCTTCAAAACAATTAACTTTTGTTTAAAGGTTTTTGATATATTATTACTCACCCTGCTGCATTTTCATATGAGAATGGCTGGTAGAAGAACTCAGGGAGCAACATCTGTGGCTGGTGCCCCACCTGTATCCTGGCCGCGCCCTCCGGCATGTACAGGCTCGCATTGGACCGCTCCAGGCACACCCCGCCGAACTTACAAGGCTCGTGTTCACAGTCGCTTATGTCCACCTCGCAATTCTTGCCTGCAAGAGAACAAAACAGCAAGAGTTTAGAGAAGAGTATAAAAGCAAACTTTAACAGAAATAAAGATTATTTCGATGATACTGACGTATCTTGCAGCAGAGGTACTTGCCATATCATAGAACGATATATGATTAATAAGCGGTATATCTTATATATAAAATTCTCGTGTCACAATGTTAAATAGTTACCATACTCCTCCGAAACGCTGGACCGATTTTTATGAAATTTTGTGTGCACATCGGGTAGGTCTGAGAATCGGCCAACATCTATTTTTCATACCCCTAAATGACAAGGGTGACCGACCCCAATTTTTTTTTTCAATATTTCCTAGAAATAATGTATCTGGCAAAACAACGTTTTCCGGTTCAGCTAGTTTATTTATATTAAAATACATATTACCTTGCCCGTTTTCAAAAAACTAGTGAACGATTTTTATTTGACATTCTAAATACTGTTGGTTTCAATATAATTATATAGTACATATTTTGAACTGTATGTATATAATATATATATATTATATATATATATATATATATATTATGTTTATGTATGTATGTATGTGTATTTATCTTTGTGTAATGTAAACAGATGTTTATTTGTGTATGTTGCCTTTATTGATATAAATAAATATTCACGTGATAATGCGTTACGTATATGTAAACTACCCAAATTTTTAAATATCTAATATTCGTATTAAGGTTGTCTGTAAGAGATCGCCGTGAGCGACAAGACCGCCGATTGTTACGTCTATATATTGGTAAGTAACTTATGTGTTAACTGTCTATATACAAATAAATAAAATTGGAGTGTCTGTTTGTAATATTAAAATAACCGCTTTTTACTAAATGCATATGTATGTTTACACGGTACATATGCCAAAATAACATTTTTTACAATTTTTGTCTGTCTGTCTGTTCCCGGTAATCTCTGGAACGGCTGGACCGATTTCGACGGGACTTTCACTGGCAGATAAGGAGTAACTTGAGCTACTTTTTTTAGACTAGCTTCGCCCCGCGGCGTTGCCCGCGGTTATAACAACAAACGCGGGTAACACCGCGGGTCTCAGCTAGTATACAATAAAGATATAAATAAATAAATAATGATTGTTTTACAGTTACGTACGTATATTTGCTCGCATGGCTGATAACATTAAAAAAATGCGACTATATAAAAATCTACGCAGGTTATGTTAATGCTAAAATCAGTCGTTAATAGTTAAGGAAGTGTCTTTACACAAACCTAATAACAACATGCAAATTATTAATTTTATTTTTTAAATTTATTTACAACACTTATACTTAGTACATTGCTTTATTCTTCAATTGAGATAAAAAATTAAAGTAAAATAATAGACGCACTCAGTTTCATTTACTAAAATAACGTTAAGCAAGACTCGTAAAAAAGTAAAAAAATATGCGGTGGTATGAAATATTTAATATATATACTTATAAAACTTAGTATTAGGAAATGAATAAAAGAAATAATACCTTGAACACATTGTAACGTAAAAAAGTTGAAATGTTAACAATGAAACGTGTGTGAATGAACCGGTAAAGTGAACTGACCGGTATAGGCGGCGTAGCAGGCGCAGTGGTAGTCATTGATGTCGTCGATGCAGGTGCCGCCGTGACGGCAGGGCTCCGGCGCGCACTCGTCGATGTTGGTGGCGCAGTCCTCGCCCGTGTAGCCCGTGCCCGCGCACTCGCACGAGTAGCTGTTCAGCCCGTCCAGGCAGCGCCCTCCGTGCAGGCATGGTTGACTCTGCGTGGAAACGTTGCGTGTATAACCAATTAAAAAGTTATATTTATTTAATCAGTACGGTTTATTGGGTGAGGATTAATAGTTACTCCTTAGATCCGTGTGTCTTTGTTAAATGTGAACGAACTACGTTTTTGGTTTTATGTGGAAGTCTCCACAAAAATAATTACCTATTGTTAATGAAAAATCCTCTTATTTTAAGTAGCACAACTGTATGTATATAGCTATTTCGTTAAGACTTATATCGTGATAAAAACACCGACACTAAACACCAACTACAAATATATGATATAAAATAATGATTTAGCATATCACTGAGCTTCTTGTTATGGCATAGGGGACAAACGAGCAGACGGGTCACCTGATGGTAAGTGACTACCGTCGCCCATGAACACTTGCAACTCAAGAGTCACCAGTGTGGTGCTGTCCTTGGAGTCCCCTCGACCCAGAATCAGGGGGCGGGCGATTTGGGCTCCGATGACCCACAAATGCAAGAATATAATACTGGTTTTCAGTGAGGCCGAAGCATTTCCCTCCTACGTTAAGCTGTAATCAGTGCGTGAGTGTAGCGAACTAGTCTACCTGACAGTCGTCAATATCCGTTTCGCAATTGGGCCCCGTCAGTCCGTCCTGGCAGACGCACGTGTAGCTAGCGATGCCGTCCACGCATGTAGAGCCGGCGGCGCATGGATTCTTTTCGCATTCGTTAATATTAATCGAACAGTCCTTGCCTTAAAACAAAAAGAAACTATTAAAAACAAATAAGTACCAATTAATTGTGAATAAATTAAAATTAATTGCAGCACTGACCTTCGAAACCCTCCATACAAGTACATTCATAATTGTTCTCCAAGTTCTGGCAGGTGCCCCCATTCTTACACGGTGACGATAAACATTCGTCGATGTCCTGATCGCATCTGTCGCCCGTATACCCTGCATATAAATACATAACTTAGAATGCTAATTCATTTGTGATGAGCGCACAATACGTTAGAAATGTGATCACCTGGTCGGCAATAACACTCATACGAGCCGGGAACGTTTAGACAAACTCCATGGTGACATATTTTCGGTTTCATTGCACATTCATCAACGTCCAGTTCACATAAACGACCTGAAAATAAAACGATGAATATTCATTAATGAATAATTAAGTACACCAGCAGCAGACAATGCTTCCTTTTACTTACCAGTCACATAAAGCAGAATTAAAAATATTTGAAATGACATAATTATTTGCACGAAATTTAACCACTAAAAATAATAACAATGCAAATCACGTGTGAAAATATACATTATACTGAGGAACTAAGAATATACAGTATAAACTTAGTTTGAACAAGTGTATTAGCCAAGAGCACTAACACGCGAAACTAAATATTGCATCAGTACAGGTATAGATGTGACTACATAATAACGATTTACTGGATTTAATTAACAAAACTAATTTAATTCAAATAGTCACATTGTTTACATTGTTCGTAACTAATAAGCCTTTCAATGAAATCCCAACAATGATTCATAATTACAATTATAATTACGCCATCGAAGAACCGGTTACGAAACTTTACGGTACTAACCGCATGTCATCTACACATCACTAGCATTATGGTCTGTCAAAGCTAGTACAGTGTCAAGTTTTTATCGTCTGATGATCTGTTTTTATTCAAATCATGTATCGAAGCAATATTATCGAATTATATGTTCAAATATAATGAATATAGACATTGATACTTTGCTGTGAATCATCGCAATGTTGCATTCAACGCGTCAAGTTTTGAGGTTATGTCGGAGACAATTAAGTTTACAAAATAGGTGTTTCAACCAAGTGCGTACATCAACTGACGCCGTTAGTATAGAAAAGGATAAAAAACAAAACAATAGCAAAGATTTCTCAGCATTATTAGATAAATACAATGACAAAATCAAATTTAACTCATACTTAGAACACGAAAAGTTAGATTTAGGTTATTACAAGTACTACATCAAGAGTTTGAAAAAGAGAAAGATTGCATTGCAAAACGAATACAAAGAGAAAAGTTTACCACCGCTGCCGATCTCATTACGATACTACGTTGATGAAGAGAGATTGCTCAAAGAAGAAAATGCCGTTGAATATGTTGAAGAACCCAATGAGTTTCAATTGCCATTTAGCAGCCCTACAAAAGTGGATTACGACAAAAACGAGCCACCCAAGCTAAATACGAATGTTGATTCAGACACAAGTGTCGATTTCAATCGTTCCAACATACAAAAATGGATGACCAACTATGAACACTTTGATGACAGTAAAATCCCATCTGATGTTGATACTGATGATGAATCAGATACAAGCTGGTCAAAATACTATGGTACTGCAGACCCTAATTCATATGTGAGCCGAGTGCCTTGCGGTGGATGTGGTGCACTACTGCACTGCAGCGATCCTTCTATTCCAGGCTACTTGCCGAGTGAGATTTTCAAAAACAGAGTCGAGAGTGAATTAAAGACAATTGAATGTCAGCGATGTCACTTCCTCAAAGAATATAATGTAGCCCTGGATGTAAGAGTACAGCCTGAAGAATATGAAAAGCTACTGCAATCCATCAGGTATAAAAGTGAAATACTTTGTTAATTTCAGTGAGCATATTGGAGAATGCATATTAGATATATGACTATGACTGTAACATTGTTTTATAATCTTTAATGATTAAGTAGTAGGCCAAACCCTCCTTTCTAAGGAGAGGCCTATGTCCAGCAGTGGACTGTTATAGGCTGTTGATGAATGATTAAGTAAATACACAGCTATGAACTATATTTTTGTAATAAAATTTATATATATTTATATGAGTAAATATTGTCTTGCACTAACATATGTATTATAATTATTTATTAAAACTACAATTTTATCAGTAAATTCAGTCACAACATCCCACTTAGATGTTATTAGTCATAAAAATGCCAGCTATACCAAAATTATTATTTTGACACTTTCCATTTACAAATTTAAAAAAAAATAGGTTGACAGTTGTAAGAAAAGCTATTAATGTAGGCTTGATAAACTTAATATAAACACTCATTAATATATCAGATTAATGATTGTACTCTGATGACTATTAAATTTGGGTTAGCATTTAATACACTTTGAACCAAAACTGCTGTTTATGTAGTAAATGTTTCTTGATATTTTAAGTTTCACACTTACCTGTTTAACAATCAAAGTAAATTGTAGTTTAATAAAACAAAAAGTGATAGTAATATATCTAAATTCCAGTTGCACTTGAAAATAGTGCTCTTTGTCTTACATTGCTATGTCTTCTCTAAATAACAATAATAATTTTATTTCTTATATCAGTCCGTGTGGTGACGGATTAAGAATACAAATTGTCACCACCCCAATTCATCCCGTGGGTGTCGTAAGAGCCGACTAAGGGAGCAAACTAAGCAGGACAACAGCACTGCAAAGAGAAAGAAAACTTGAAACAAACCCTATACCAACCCGTCTGGCCAGCGTGGTATAGTAGGCCAAAACCTCCTTTCTAAGGAGAGGCCTATGTCCAGCAGTGGACTAGTATAGGCTGTTGATGATGTTGATGATCAGTGATAGTTTTTCAAGAAGGCATATACAGTCTTAAGTCCAATTGGAAATATTTTCTTTTAAAAAGCAGAAGGAATATATCCTGTTGCAGGGGATTTTACAAACATAAAGAACACCCAGACTAAGGACTACAATTTGTGGATTACACAAGTATTGTCCCATGTAGGGGGTCAAAGCCCACAACACTTGCCACAGTAGGAACCGGCGAGGTGACCACTTAAACCACTGCCTACCGGGCAGTCATTTAGCAGTTTACAAGTTCTTACTGATCCATTTTTAATTTTTATATTTCCAGACATATCAAATCTCTAGTGGTCCTCATAGTGGACCTGCTGGACTTCCCCTGTTCGATATGGCCAGGGATTGTGGATATTATAGGAACTGACAGACCCATCATAATTGTTGGCAATAAGGTATGTATGGTTTCTACTAACTATTTAACTATTAAAACAGATCCTGATCTGCATGGATATTTATACATATAAAATTATTGATTAGTCATTCTGACTGCTACAGCATAGGTTGTGGGTTCGATTCCCACCCAGGAGAAATAATTGTGTGATGACAGACTCATCATCATTAGTTTTGTGTCTGGATGTAATTTATTTATAATATGTATGTATTTTGATTATTTACTTTACTTTATTAATCTCCCTTTATTAAAAATTTCATTAACATATACCAGCCATTACAAAGGCTAGTCCTGAAAAACATAGTAAGTTGTCACATTCTACAATCTATTTTTGTCCAGCCATTTCAGGTTGAAGGACTTACAAATATCTTGGCTTTCACACTCATATATTTTGTATTTTAATGACATACTTTTTTTAATTTATTAACGATTTCTTTCCAGGTTGACCTGCTACCTGGTGACAGTGTTGGTTACTTGAAGCGTATAAAAGAAAGCCTAAGCACAGAACTAAAAAAGACTAGACTAGGAGAGGCCAATATAAAACACATTTCTCTAATATCTGCCAAAACTGGATATGGTGTTGAGGACCTTATCTCTGCTCTCTTCAAGTTGTGGCTGTACAAGGGTGACGTGTTCCTCGTTGGGTGCACTAATGTTGGCAAAAGTTCACTGTTCAATGCCCTGTTACAATCAGACTACTGCAAAGTACATGCAATAGACATTATCAAAAGAGCAACGGTCAGCCGTTGGCCAGGTACTACTCTCAATCTGCTCAAATTCCCTATAAATAGGCCTTCAGGATGGAAAATATATCAGAGATCCAAAAGACTAAATTCAGAACGTAAGCTCATGAAAATTGAAAAAGAAATTAGAAACTCTCAATTGCAGGGGAAGGCGCCAATTGAAGCACCTGCATTAATCGGTCATATTGGCAGATCTTTCACAGATTTAGAAGAGACTCACGAAGTGGGCCAGCAGAAGCAATTGGTATTTAATGAGAGGAACCCAATATTTGCTAGAAGCAAGTGGATGTACGATACTCCCGGCGTCATTCACCCCGACCAGGTGTTGTCGTTACTCAGTACTGAGGAGCTGCTCATAACCATTCCTAAACAGATGATTAGACCACAAAGTTATTACTTACATAAAGGTGAGACAATTTTCATTGGTGGTCTGGCAAGAATTGACTTCGTAGACTGCGCCCTACCCTGTCGTTTCACAGTGTTTTGCTCGGAAAGTTTACCAATTACAGTGACGCAGACCAAAGATGCTGAAGAAATTTATAATAAGTTTTTAGGTACAGAGCTATTGGCTGTGCCCAGTGGAGGTGAAGAGAGATTAAAAAATTGGCCAGGGTTGAAGAGGTGTAGTGATTTGTTGGAGTTCTCTGGAGAGGGGCCAAAACTCTGTTGTGGTGATATAGTATTGTCTTCGGTGGCTTGGGTGGGGGTGACTGCGAAGAAAGACACAGTTTGCAGTGTATATGCGTGGACGCCTGAAGGCAGAGGCATATACAGGAGGAGCCCTTCAGTGTTGCCATATTCAATTAATTTGAAGGGAAAAAGGATCAATGATACACCTGCTTACATGATAGGCAATATTTACTCAGATAAAGAATAGCTTTATAAATCTCGTTCATAAATCGAATAGCAACCTAATAAATTAAGAGATGTATAGTCAAGACGTCGTTTTCTTTATTATCTGACATAAATACACATTCTCAATACATAAATAACCTTTGCTTAGTATGTTAAATATTTAAAACACATAAATGATTTGACTAAAAAATACCATCTTAGTACATTTTTTGTAATACCGATAGATTGTATTAGTGTGAAATATTCACGCACACCTACATACATATCTTTTATCCCCGTAGGGGTAGACAGAGACGTATCACGCACACATTACGCACACATTTTATCGGCTATAATTTTAGTCCCACTTACACAAGAGGGAATGTTATAGATAAATTACACAAATCAAATTATCGTCTACGTCATTAAATATTTGCTCTGGGTGGGAATCGAACTCGACAATCACATCGAACAAATAAAGGGAATGAAGGCGATCACTACACACGTGAGCGCATGCACTGCACCATTGAGCCGGTAGTCGGCCTGCGCTACCCAGCGCAACTGGTGGGAACGTCAGCAACGCAATACCTATTACATGGCCTGTATACCGTAATGAAAGTTTGGTTAGGTTACACGAGAAGTTAATAATTGAATGAACACACGTCACTCACCATTGCTGCCGGGTGGGCACTGGCAGCGGAACAGGCCGTTCTCCAGTGCGAGGCACGTGCCGTTGTGGCAGGGCGAGGAGGCGCAGGCCGAGTCGGGCGCGGCGGGAGCGCAGCGCCAGGCGCCGGTGAGCTCCACACACTCGTGGTGCGGGGGACAGGCCGCCACGGCCGCGCGGCAGTCGGCCGCCAGCTCGCAGGTGGGCCCGGCCCAGCCGCCGCGGCACTCGCACTCGCCCGAGTCGCGGCACATACCGCCGTTGGCGCAGCGCGCGCAGGGCTCGGGCCCGGCGCCCGGCGGCAGCGCCGTATCGCAGCGCGGCCCGCCCCACCCCGGTTCGCATTCACATCGGAATCCCACGGCCTACGGACACGTTTTAACTCACTACCGCTGTCGAACACTATGTTTTCAAAGCTTACATGTAGAAATAGAAGTCTGTGTATAGAGTGCTACTTGGTGTAAAACAGTGAGTTTGGATTCAGCACAACAGTGCGATATAGGAATTGAAATTTAGTCAACTTTTGTGTAATACTTTTGAATAGCTAATTTTTATCATACAATTGTGTAACGGTGTTATTTGTGTATTTAAAGAGAGTAAAAATAAGTTCAATATAAATAGCTATAAACAAGTGATAAATTATAAAATCTAAATCGTTTAAATTCAATTTCCTTTTGTTTTCCAAAGTCACGTGCGTATGATATGGAATCTACAAATTTATCAATATTAATGTATGGATTTCGAAAGTGTTAAAATCGGAAAACCATATATACATCGGTGGGAACGAACAAAGACACAGCAAGCAGTAGTATACTCACGAGGTCCTGGCAGGTCTTGGCGTGCAGGCAGGGCCCGGCGGCGCAGCGCTCGGCCGCCTTCAGGTCGGACAGCGCCTTGCCGGCCGACAGCTCGCAGTACGCGCCTACACGCACATGCACGCCCACATAAGCACATACACGACTACACAACATCGACCGCTCACACTTTATCATTCGTTACAAGACTACAACAGGCATGTCTATGATATGCTTTTAAACTCAAAGGTCTCAAGAAAATATGTTCAACATCGAATATTTATTACAAAAACAGGCAAAAGTTATGTCTACTGCACACTACAAACGGATTTTAAAATCAAGGCTGTTTTACAGGAAAATGAAACAAAACTAAGATATACTGTAAGGGACGATATGGACTATGTTGAGCAAATATAATAGAAACCAAAATTTAAATATTAATGCTTAACATGTCTTGTGAGTCTTTAGTTTTTTTTAAAGACAACTCCCTCACTAGGAATAAGTCCTATGTATGACTTTAAAAACATACATGAAACAGACACAAAAACACCCAAACTTAGAACAACAATTTGTGGATCACACAAAGTGTCGTTCCATATGGGAATCGAACCCACAACACTCAGCGTAGTAGTAAACGGCGTGGCGACTGCTTTAACCACTACGTCATCCGTGCAAATTATTTTGTATTGTAATTCGTATTTTATTACAACTAGGTAAACTATTTTTTTTTCTCTATAACAGATAACTTTAGCCAATTAGACGACATTAATAAAATTTATCAACTCGTGATCAATATAAAAACATAAAAAATGGAGGGGATTACTCAAGGGGGTTCATCAATAGTTAAAAGAAAAGACAACAATAAATATGAACATTCTTAAGTCACAAAAAACGTGGACTATCCAATGGCATCACGCCATACTGGTAAATTTAGCAAAAAAAATTGTTTATCCACTGTCCTTTTAATAATTAAATAGCGTTATTATTTGTTATTAAAATGAAAAACGGTAACAAAACAAATGTTTAGAAAATAATTTGAGCATGGATTAGATTTGTACAGAACTAAATTGAACATTTAAGACAACAAACATGAATGGACATAAACAGGTCTCTGCATGTGATGTATATGTGTAGATGGTACCTTTGTACCCGGGCGCGCAGGTGCAGTTGAAGTGGTCGGGCGCGAGCGTGCACGTGGCTCCGTTCTGGCACACGCCCACCTCGCACGCTGATTCTAACGTCGTACAGTTCGGTGAGGGACCCGGTGCACCTATGAACAAACACATCTTTTATATACATCTACCTGTTTCAAATATGATTTTATTTTCAATTTACTGCTCAGATTATATTTTTTTCACTTACAGCAGTCATATATGATACTGCCATAGTAACGCATCAATTAAGCTTTCGTACGACACGATAATTTCTTGAAACCTGATTGGTCAGCTGGGCGGGGTTTGATTGACGCGTCACTATTTTCTTAACGCGAATGGACTATATATATCAAATGTCACCAATTGACATCTAGCAATATTGTCTGACAGCTAAATGGTAAAATCAATTATCCCACTTCCCGGACTCTCTGTTACACAATTCCGTCCGTTTTCATGAAAGATTCCAAGAAAGCGAGCGAAATGTAACACATCAAAAGCAAGCGTTCCTAAATATGAAACATGTTTGGGGATGTTAATACGCACCGTAGTAGCCCACGTCGCAGACGCACGTCACTTGCTTAGCAATCACACCAGTCACTACCATTTGATTAGGTAGGCCTGTTTAAAAAGAAAACAAGCTCATATTTAGTATTTTTAATAAAAGTTTTGGCACTGAAATCCTAGCAAGCAAAGTAAGACAATATAAAGTAAAGAAAAAAAGATGAAAGTTAAATTTACGAAATGGTATTATTTTTTATTTGAAGATTGAAAGATGGAGGAAGAACTTGGAAAGTTTTGATGAAGTTTGATGGTGGCGTTAATGGAATTAAAGTGCACGAGCTGATGACAGAGAGCAAAGCATAATATTTATTTTTTCCTTTCCTTTAAAAAGACAACTCCCGGAATATATCCTGTATCGCGGGTGACTTTACAAACATACATGAAACGGACACAAAGAACACCCAGACTCAGAACAACAATTGTGGAAATATGATGATAAGGACTAATAAAAAGATGGAATAACTGGATGACAGAGGACAACGCTAGGAGATGAGTAAACAGTAATAACAGAGTAAATGAAATGAATGGGAAAAGGGTGGGTAGATTATGGTTAAATGGTCAATATGACAGCTACAGTGTGTCAGTGAAGACCTCTTTTATAGTGCGGTATTAGTGATATATCTACATACAGAAGAGCAGTTAGTTTGTGTGTGGACGGCAGTACTCACAGTGCGAGCGCGGCGGACACACGATGTCGAGGCAGGAGGGGTGCGCGGGCGCGGGGCTGGAGGGCGGCGGCGGGGGCGGCAGGGGCGCGGTGCAGAGGGGCGGGGCCCAGCCGCGCGCGCACACGCAGCGGAATCCCGCGCCGCCCGCCTCCTCCACGCACGCGCCGCCCGCGCCGCACGGGCCCGACGCGCACGCCGACATCTGCAGGCACGCTCGCTATACACTACACTCCTATTGCTTCCTTATTTCTAATGTTTTATTCATCTATATTGTCCGTGTGGTGACGGATTAAGAATACAGAGTGTCACCACCCCTATTCATCCCGTGGGTGTCGTAAGAGCCGACAAAGGGAAAAAACTACGCAAAACACCAGCACTGCAGAGAGAAGGAAAACTTGACACAAACCCTTTTTTTTTTTTTTTTTTTTTTTTTTAACGTGTGGAAATCCCCTCGGACCGTCACCCCTCCGGGGTTTGCGGCGGGGTGGTGTGTCGGACTCGGACCGACTAAAACCACACGGTGTGCCACTCTGCGCCTGTAACAGGAGGGATCCGGGAACAGCTGTTGTTAAGACATCCGGACCCCTCCTAGCGCCAGCCCGCTCCTGGTGCGGGCTCCGTCTCATTGTAGATGTTCCTCTCTTTAGGCGACGTCCGGCACACGCGGACGCCGCCCCCTCGCGGCTGGCCAACTAATGCGGGTGGAGGGGAAACCCACCCCGTCCACCCGCGGCCACACTCAGGGCGGCATGAGGCTGTGGTAGGCGGGCCTCCGCCGCCCGGTTCGCCGGCGGCGGATCGGGTCCGAGTGGAGGTCGTCCTCCCGGGCCCTCTCCGCCGCCTCCTTCCGCGAGATTACTACCTCGCAGAAGGTTGCGACCGCGGTAAAACAACTGTCGCTACCGGCCATGGAGCGTACTACGGCCGGTAGCGAGAGATCCACTCCGATGACTGCAGTGAGGGCCCGGCGCTGCGCCGCCCATGCGGGGCAGACCGCCAGCGTGTGCTGGGCCGAGTCCTCACTGCAGTCGCAGTGGTGGCAGGCGGGACTCAGTTCCCTCCTAGCGACCGTGTGCAGGTACTTTCCGAAGCAACCGTGCCCGGAAAGCACCTGCGTCAGTCGGAAGGAAAGGGTCCCGTGCTGCCGCCCTGCCCACTCGGCGATGACCGGCTGGAGAGCCTCCACGGCGGCGAAGCCAGCGCGTGGAGTCTCCAGCCGGAACGACCAACGAGCCATCGTGGCTCGGCGAGCGGCTTCGCGCCACTCGCGCACATCCTCGGGCGGAGGGCGAAATCCGCTCTCCGCCCGGAAGTCAGCCACTCGCCGATAAACTTCGGCGAGCACTTCCGCCTCCAAATCCCACGGGGGAGTTCCGGCCAATGCGCACGCCACCTCCGTCGAAACGGTGCGGTAACCGCGTATGGCTCTGACCGCCATTACCCTCTGAGGGCGCCAGAGGCGTACCCTATTCTGGGCGGTCAGAGCCGCCGCCCACACCGGTGCACCGTACAGTGCCATTGACCGGACAACCCCCGTGTACAGCCGTCTTGTCGCGACGCTGGGTCCACCCATATTGGGCAAAAGTCGCCCTAGGGCAGACGCAGCGCCGACCAGCTTTGGAGCAAGCTGTCGGAAGTGCTCGTCGAAGAGCCACCTCCCGTCGAGGATCAGGCCCAGATATTTCATCTGGGCCCGAACCGGTACGAGGACCGAGTTGACCACTATTGAGGCGCCAGGGGGTGGACCACGACGGGGCCCATGGAATAACAGGGCCTCCGTCTTGTCTAGGGCCACCCGTAAGCCCAGCGCCTCAATGCGCCCGACCACCAGGGAGACTCCCCCTGTGGCCAGGCGCGCCGCCTCTTGGAAGTTTGCCCCCCGGGCTGTCACGAGGGTATCGTCTGCGTAACAGATTACACCCAGCCCAGGGGGGAAATCAGCGCGAAGGGCCCAGTCGTACCCTATGTTCCACAAGAGGGGTCCAAGAACAGACCCCTGTGGAACACCGCACGACATGGGCCGACACCTCAGATTACCTTCTCGGTCCTCGTACACGACGGTACGCTCCTCTAAATAGTCTGCCACCAGCCGCCTCAGGTACTTTGGCACCCCATGATAGTGGAGTGCTTCCCTGATGCAGCTGAATGGCAGACTATTGAATGCGTTGGCGATGTCTAATGACACCGCCAACAGCACGCCGCCACAGCTCACGGCCTCTTCGGTCACGGCCCTCAGGCGCAACACGGCGTCGACTGTCGAACGCCCCGCCCGAAAACCAAATTGGGCGTCCGACAGATCGGGGCCCACCTCGCAGAGGTGCCGGACGATGCGGGCAGAAAGAACCCTCTCAAACAATTTGCCCGCCTCGTCCAGCAGCACGATGGGCCTATAGGCCGCGACCGAATCGGCAGGCCGTCCCGGCTTCGTCAATAGGACCAGCTTCCCGCTCTTCCAGCACTCAGGGAAGCGTCCCGACGCCAAGCTAGCGTCGAACACCTCCCCGAGGCGGTCTGCCATGTGGTTGAGGGCCAGGGCCAGCACTCGGGCCGGTACCCCGTCTGGCCCAGGGGCGGTGTTCTTGGAACGGATCCGTAGAACAGCCGCCCCTACCTCCGATTCCCGGACGGGCGGAACATTGTCCTCCCCGTGCTCCCCGTCGTCTCCGGCCAGGGAGGCCATCGACGGGGGAGTGTGTTCCGCCCGTTGTGGGAAAAGGCCCTCAACCACTTCTCGCAGGAAGCTGGGCTGGAGAGTCTCCGTAAGGGGGGGGGCCCGACGCGCGGAGCTTTTGTCGCACCGCGCGGTAAGGGCGACCCCAGGGGTCACGATTAAGACCCTCCAGCATCTCCTGTCTTTTTTCCTCTTTGGCGCGGCTAATGGCCAGCTTCAGAGTTTTCCGCGCCCGTCGGTACTCCTCATGAAGCCGGTCCTCCTCACCGTCTCCACGGTGACGCCGCCGACTGCGCGTGTAGGACCTCCGGGCACGTGTACAGGCCGCACGGAGGTCCGCCAGCTCCTGGGACCACCAGTAGACCTCCTTCCTTGGAGGCCGACGACCTCGAACGCGGGGCATGGCCGCATCGCATACATGCGTAATCGCATCGCGAAAGCGGCCAGCCCCCACGTCGACCTCCTCGGTCGGAGCCTGAGGAGACAGCCACGAGTGAATTATGGCTGCCTCCTCTAGTAGGTCCCGGTTCAGCCTGGCAACAGCCCACCGCGGAAAGCGGGATAAACGCCGCGCCACGTGACCCCTACTGGAGTCCTGGGTCCGGGAGAGCTCAAATCGGATATACAGGTGATCCGAGAGCGTCTCAACCTCTTCCAGAACACGCCAGTTCCTTACTCGTGCGGCGAGGGCAGGGGTAGCGAACGAGAGGTCCACTATCGACCCCCCCTGCTGTCGCACGCACGTGTTGGTGGAGCCTCTGTTTAGAAGACAGAGGCCCACCGAGGCCGCCCACTCCTCTACGGCCTCGCCCCTGGCGTCCGTCCTGGGGGAACCCCACGCAATGGACTTTGCGTTGAAGTCCCCCAGCACAAGGACGTGCCCAGACGCTAGTCGCCGTATCGAGGTCTCCAAGCTGATTAGGAAAACCTCGAAGTCGTTCAAACTCCGGTTGGGGGAGAAATAGACACCATATATGGTGATCCCCCCCCAATCGACGGCAACATATCCAGTGCCCTTGTCTCTTAGCGACAAGGGCGGGGAATGAGCCGTCGTGGAACCGACGACTGCCACGGAGCCGTCCCAGTCACCCATCCAGTTTGGACGGGGAGGGACAGAATAGGGCTCCGCGACTACGGCAACACCTATCGACCACTGTGCCATGGTTTGCAGGAAGAGATCCTGCGCCGCGGCACAGTGGTTCAGGTTCGTCTGGACCAGGAGGTTGGAGACTTGATCCATTACTGGATCGTCTCTACAACCTCCTCCATGGGCGACGACGACGACGCACGTACTACGTCGGAGGCAGCCTGGGTCGACTGGCTAGCCCCTGACGTCTGCCGAGAACTGCGGGGAGGCTTGCAGCCTCTCTGCCCCATCTGGTGATTGGCGGGCTTATTGCCCGCCGCACACACTGGGCAGTGAGGGGCGGCAGAGCATTCTGCCGCCTTATGCCCCGGTTGACCGCAGCGGAAACACAGTCCGCCGCAGTCAAAGCAACTGTCGCACTTGACGCGCGTGTGTCCCGATGCTAGGCATTTGTAGCATCTCATCGGTCTCGCCGCCAGGACTGTGATCCTGGCGCTCACGAAACCGATGAACAGCCTGCCGGCGTCGGCCAATACTTTGGCCGACGCTACGGGACAGCTGACCCACACGGCGCCAAGCCCTCCTGGACCGGGGCGGATGGTGCCGACCCTGACGTTGTCCGCGCTGCACCCCGTCTTCTCCCGGATTACAGCGCGGACATCTTCGGCCGTCACAGAGTCGTCCAGGCCCGAGATGCGCAGCTCTGCGCACTTAGTAGGCCTGGCGATCTTTACACCATCCGTGGCTGTAAAGAGTCCCCGCAGCTTCTCGGCAAATGTATCCGCCGTCTTAGCGCCTTCAGCCCCAGGGAACTCGAGGACTCGAGCTCCCGTCTGGGCGAGGCGCATTCTGACCCCCACCGTTCCAAAATCGTTGGCGAGGCTGTCCCGGGCCTTTTTGAAGACGGCCGCGTAGGACAGCCCGCCGTCCGCCGCCTCCGGGGACACGGTCACCACTACAGCCGCGGTTTTGGGCGGCTGCAGCTTCCGCGGCCTCTTTGTGGAGGCCGTTGCCACCGGTGGCGAAGGCTGGGCTTGGGCTGCTTTTTTGGCAGCCTTTTTGGCCCGCCTTCGGGACTTCTTGGAGCCCCTCGCCTCCTGCCAACCCTCGTTGGAGGGGGCAGGTGCGGAGGGGCCCGGCAGGGGTGTCGGAGTGGGGAGCGGAGGGAATGCCACTCCGCTCCTCGGCGCTGTTCTAGGCCCCGTCTTGGCCGGCGCCTGGGGATGCGCCCTGGCCGGCGCCTTAGCCGGTGCCTTGGCCGGCGCCTGGGTTGGTGCCTTGGCCCCCCTCCTCGGCTTTTGTGGAGCCGATGGAGTCGGGGCAGACGCCGCCGCCGCGTAGGAGACGCGGCCTCCCACTACGGGGAGCGCGGTCGGAGCGGCGGCCTTAGGCCGCTGTGTCGACGCGAGCGGGGGGCGCATACTCGGCGCAGGAGGCAATCTCGCCTCCAGGCCAGCCAGGCGTCCGTCCAGCATATTCCCAACTGCGATGAGGATTTCTCGCAGTTGGGAGTCAAATGCCCCTGAGTTGGTGGTAGGGGCAGGCTGGGACGCGGACGGGGCTTCCCGCTCGGGGAGGTTCGCCTGGAAGCGGGCGAACTGAGCGCTCAGCTCGTTCACCCGCTCCGTCAGCTTCTCGTTGGCCACCTGCAGGCGAGAGACGTCGCCCGCTAGGCCCTCCACGACCTCCGACAAAGCGGAGGAGGAGTCCTTAAGGGCCCTCACAAACGAGCCCTTAAGGTTCACGGATTTGGTGGCCACCTTGTTGATGACGGCCACCGCCGCTTTCGCCCTCTCCTGCACGGACACGGGAGCCTGGGGGGCATTTCCCCCCACCGGCTCCCGAACCTTGAGCAGGAGATCCGCGATCTCCTCCTCCGCTACGGCCTCGCCGTCCACCCGTACGTTCCTGTACGACTCCGCGTTGGAGAACGCGGAGCCTGACGGGATCGCGACCGAGGCCGGTTTGCGCGCCCTCCCTCGGCGGCTGCTTGCCACCTTTGGTGGCATCATTTCGCCGGACGTGTCGGTTTCCACGTCCCCTGAGCGTCCGCGTTTCCGGCTGTCGCTCCGCTCCGCTTCCATGGCCTCCGCGCCATCCGATGAAGCGGCGGATCCGGAACGCAGCCGATCCGATGCTCTTCGGCTCCCAGAGACCAGCGTCAGACTGACTTCTGGGAGCCCCACCGAGATAGGCGTTCCCGACGCTATCTCACCCTCCGTGGATGAACCATCCACTCCACTGTTCCTCTTCTCTTGCATTTCAGAGTCCGTTTTGCTTGCCTTTTTCTTTTGTGATTGGTTTTCCGATCGTTTTTTAATATTTTTGTTGATATTTTCCATGATAAATCCCACGAGTGGGGGAGAACTAAAGGTCCACCCGGGCAGAGATCCCCCATTACCCGGGCAAGCGTAAGTTTTTAACCCAGCCGAGGGGTCCGCAGGTACCTCGGCTTGGAGTGCGCTCGCGACTGAACTTCCCATCAGCCATGCATCCCCTGGCCACGCACCAGAACACGGGATTCGGGGAATTTTTTAGAGAGGTTATCTTCCTCGCGGTCCGGGCGGTTAAGCCAAGACCCTCGCCCCCGATCAGAGCCGCGAGACTTAACCACAGCGCTCTTCTCGGGATTACGATATGCCGACGGTTGACAGGGAGACTACGTCCCCCTGCCTGCTCGGTGGTAGTGTGAGTACACGCCGAGCCCGTCCTCCTTTCTCCACCGCTGTCAGCGGAGAAACTGTGGCCCCTACAGGGCCCCGCCATCAGGTTTTTTACCGAGGTTTCCTCCTCCATGCTCCGAAGAGCGAAGAGCCAGCAGGGCAACCGGCAGACACGCCCACCCTGCTGGACCAGGCCTTGCCCGAGAGCCGATGAACGGCTGCCTCTTCTGCTAGAATATTGGCCGCTGGCGATAATCCTCTCCTCCAAGAGGACAAGGAGGAAACAGTACCATCGCCAGCGTTTCCAGGGTGCACCACGAGGAGGTTTTCTAGCCCGCACCCCACACAAACCCTATACCAACCCGTCTGGCCAGCGTGGCATAGTAGGCTAAAACCTCCTTTCTAAGGAGAGGCTTATGTCCAGCAGTGGACTGTTAAAGGCTGATGATGATGATGATGATGATTCATCTATATTTTTTTAATTAACTAAACCTATGGGACAGAATTGTAGCCCATTCTACCTAAACGAAAATGGAGATTAGAGCAACAATAGAGATATGTTATCCCAATAGTTAAAGAGTATTTAAAAATATTAAATTCGATTTACAAAATATCCTTCGTAAATGACAAGCATCCAATTCCTTACATAACATACTGACATAAGTAATTGTACTTAATATAATAGTTTGACATCGTTACTCACATTGTGACACCTCTCGCCGGTGTATCCAGGTTGACAGGCACAGACAAAGCTGCCATACGTATCATAGCAGTACCCATGACCACAAATATTTCTGTCTTCTTCACACTCGTTTACGTTTATTTCACAACGAGCGCCAGTGTATCCTATAGGCAAAACATAAAAGAAAAATATTCAAATATTTATTAAACAGATTGTACGGTATTTTTGATTATTTATTCAATAATGCTGTTTAAACTTTATTTGATATAACAACAACGGTTCCAGGGCACTACCTTGTGGTACGCCAAACTTAAGTAAGCGTTGTGTAGAAACATAGGTAGTTTTATGCCCAATTAAAATTGCCGTATATGCGGGTTTTTATTTCTGTTATAATGTAATTCTTCATTTTTCTTTTCTTTTACTTGTACTTTCTTTACTTGATGGTATACAAGATCGAATGCTTTACTCATGTACATAAAAAAAACCATTGCGTGTCAATAGTAAGAGATGGTTAATTTATTCTCCTATAAGAGTAACCGAAGTATTGACTGTTGAAGATATTACAACAGTTTATTAGAATAGTTCCAGCGTTAAATAGCGTACCTGTCCCGGAGCAGTCGCAGGTGAAGTTGTTGACAGCATCGACGCACTTCCCGCCGTTGAGGCAGGCGCCGGCCGCTGAAGCGCACTCGTCCACGTCGGTCTCGCAGTTGCGGCCCATGTAGCCTACGTACACACACACTTAGCACACACTACACTATCTCACTACATGCCATTTCGATGATATGACTGATAAGTATATCAACGGTAGGTAAAGATGGAGTGACTGATAGAGATTTGGTTCGGTAAGCTGTCACTTTTAACGAGAATACGGAACTGTTAATGAGAATAAGAATAAGGAAAGATACTTGTCCGTGTGGTGACGGATTGTGAATACGGAATGTCCCACCCCTATTTCATCCCGTGGGTTTCGTAAGAGCCGACTAAGGGAATAAACTACGCAGGACAACAGCACTGCAAAGAGAAGGAAAACTTGAAACAAACCCTCAACCAACCCGTCTGGCCAGCGTGGTGTAGTAGGCCAAACCCTCCTTTCTAAGAAGAGACTTATGTCCAGCAGTGGACTGTTAAAAGCTGTTGATAATACTTGTTCACTGTTTACATAACATACAATATACGATTTGCAGTTTTTTCCTTTACTTACGCGAATATATTAATATGTTAAAGATTACTTTTGAACCCCTCGGGAGCAGTACCTACTTTTTTTGGAACTGGAAGGTACCCTCTTCCTTTAGAATGAGTGGTTGAGCAGTAAAGATGTTAAAGCGTAACAAAAAACAAAGAAACTCATTTTTTTATTTCATCTTTACAATATTTTGTTAGGATACATGTTGACTATTTCCTATATTTTCCTCTTTGCAAACAGAAGAAATAAATTTCATAGGTAATTTATACTAACTAAATCTTTCAAGTTCTGTAAATCATTGTGATCTATAGGTATTACACGTATGTAACCAGGGTCAGTCTGAGACCAAGGGTAGTGCAACTTAAAGAAAATCGTGGAATATTTATTAAATATCTAAAACAGTTAAACAATAACGATATCTATAGACGTGGGGATCCAAATAGTGCTTACAATACATTTCATGAGAACTTTTGTTACGCTTTACAAACTCTGTTATCCATTAGTTAGAATTAAGATATACAACCGACCTAAACCGAATTAGATATCACGTAGCTTAACATTGTGCATCAATACAGGCAATACAGAAAAAAAAACAAGTACAATAAACAAAAAAAAAAATTCAAAAAATTCACGATGTACAAAACTATAATAAATCGGACAAACAAATCTCAAAATGATTACGTCGATTGTACATAAAAAGTCAGACAATTCAGAGGCATGTCACGTTTTAACACATTTTCACAACTACATTTAAGAAGTCATTACAAATATAGCTGTACATAGCAAGCGACTAAGGTGTAAGGAATTAAACATCGTGAAATGTATCAGAAAGCAGTGATGGTGGTGGTGGTGGCAATGAGGTGATTAGTTAGGGTAGGGTTTACCTGGGGGGCAGTCGCATACATAAGTGTCAGCATCGGGCGGTACGGTGCAGCTGCCATTGTTGATGCAGGGCCCCGCCACGCACAGCGGGTCCAGGGACACTTCTAATTCGCAGTAAGTACCTACAAAATATTGTTTTTTTTTGTTATATATTACGTGGTCAATTCAAGAAGTGTATTTTTAGAAAGTATTTACTATTTCAAGTTATAAAGTTTTAAGTAGAACCTTTAATGGCAAATATGTTGTTTTGTAGACTAAATGTATTCGGGAATATCCATGACACTAGAATTTGAAAAGTTAATTATTTATGAACTTTGAAATCAGTTTGTAGAATAGAGATTAATTAAACAAAAAGAATTGAATTGTCTGTCTGAAGCCATTTTTGTAAACCAATTCCAGAAATATATTTTAAATTGAGTTTCTTGTACTGAGGATTATTCCGATTTAAATTTGAAGCAAATAACCTATGAGACATTTCACCACAGCCATACAGGCTCTGCCTAGTTCGGCGTCAGTGTGTGGGATGTGTGAACTTTTTGTACTTTTAAGTATAGACTAAATGTTAATTACCATGGTAATTCCTTGGACAGTCGCACGTGTAGTCGCCCCGCACGTCCTCGACACACCGTGCCCCGTTCTGGCACGGCGCTGAGGCGCAGGGGTCACCCGCGTCCACCTCGCAGTTGTTGCCTCGGTAACGTGCCGTGCAGAGGCACTCATATCTACAAATACAACATAATTATCACTTAAGTGAGGACACTACGAGTGCCTTATTTTTTTTATCGCATAGGAGGGCAAATGAGGGAGTGTCCCTGTGGTGACGGATTAAGAATACGGAGTGTCAGCTCCCCAATTCATCTCGTGGGTGTCGTAAGAGCAGACTATGTAGGACAACAGCACTGTAAAGATAAGGAAAACTTGGCACAAACCCAATAGCAACCCGTCTGGCAAGCGTGGTATTATAGGCCAAAACCTCCTTTTTAAACCCTTAATTACTAACTGGACCATTTACGAATTGGTCTATTTACTTTGGACATTTTGCGAAATGGTCATAATGCGCCCAAAGGCCTAAAATTTTCATACAACCATTGTTAACATAGTTTACAAGTGAAGCCAATAACAGCGTGTCAAAAAAGGGTACAATAGCTATTAATATTTCGTTGAACTCATCGTCACGCACCGTAACAATAACAATAAACGATGCTAAAAGAAATACGTTACGCAACACAACGTCAATATCAAGTGCACCAAGAATATGGCACTGACGCACATGTTCTATACGTGGCTAAATAATTATATACACAATTAAAATACATGCTTATGAAGTAGCGATATTTGCTGCAATTCTCATTCGATTAAAATGGTTTATAGATTTTTTCGTCAATCACCAGCCGTTCACGAGAATGACAACTAGCATAGCCTAGCATAGCTGCGGAACCAGGTGTACCCAAAAAAGGAAATCCCTGGTACTCCGACGGACTCTGGGCTATCTACGGGCTGTAGATGACGCCCTCGTGTGTTAGAAACACGATGTTCCTTTTTTACTCCGCAAAGCCCCGACCTGCTTCTGCTAGGGTGTCAGCCTCACCTGTCATCCCCAGGCCTGCGCTTATGGAGGACGAAGGTCGTTCTGCGACTGCCGGCATCTGAGTTCTAAACCACTCCATCGATACATCGTCCCCTGGTTGAGTTTTATATCCGTCATTCTCATGATTGGTTGTTGATTAATATTTGTATATAGTATTTATGAAATTAGTTTTAAGATTATGTACACTGCGTCTTTGAGTTAGTAGTGATTAAAATATTGATGTCATCGATGAAATCAAAGATGATTACTCAGGTAAACTGTACTTTGAAGTGAAGTCAAGGATTTTCCTGTTATAAAAATTTAATCGAATCATCGTTTTCGCGAAAAACAATTTTAAGATAAACATGACACATGACAGAAATGAATACCGTTTTCGTACTTCCTTCCTCAATAGTTATACAATAAGAATAACGGTTACCTGTCGTGTCGCGATATACAAGTGCCATGTCGCATGCACGGCTCGTTGTAGCAGTGGTCTTTGGGTGGGATCCGAAGCACGTCCTTTCTGTCAATGCCTGATAAACAAACAATTCAATTAGTAACATGTGACTTGAATACATTGGGCCCGAAGTGTAAACAAAGGAAGTCAGACCGATTACAATCCTAAAAAGTAAAGTGTTTTTCTTGAGATTAAGTGGCTGTGATAAAATATTGAATTTTTATTTAATTACAAACCTCCTTTCTCAGGAGAGGCTTATGTCCAGCAGTGGACTGTTGAAGGCTGTTGATGATGATGTAGTATAAGACAATGTTACTTGCCAAATTTCAATAGAAATATAAATGAAATTTGGCAAAGGGAAGTACCCTATAAATTTTGATTCCTTTGAGTGTCGAAATATGCATTACAGCATAAACATAACATATTTTAGAAGTTTGACTTTTTTACAGTTTTAAGAGACTGTCGATCTGAGTATATGGTTTTAATTTCAACTCGATACCCTCCACGCATACCTGAGATAAAGGGTCTTAACAGACAGACAGACGGACCACAAAGTGATCTTATAAGGGTGTCGTTTTTTCCATTTGAGTTACGGAACCTGAACAATGAAATGGATACCAGATAGTAAGCAAGTAGGTATCTGGTCGAATACCGGATATTAAATTAAGGTATTTTATTTTTACAAATACACTGCCACAATTTCTTAAAGTAATTTAGGATAAGTTATAGTTAATAATATTTATGTAGTTATTTCTAACCTATTATTTTTTTAAAACACCTCTGCACTAAGAATATATCCTGCGTCACGGTAGTACTTAACAAACTTTCATCAAACGGACCCAAAGAACGCTCAGACTGAGAAAAACGATTTGTGGACGGTACAAAGTATTGTGCCATGTAAGGATCGAACCCACAACATCCGTCAGTCAGGAACCTTAGTTTTCCAGTAAGCTTTTAATACCTTTATTGGCTTTTACTGGCCAGTTTTCCTCATGCTCTTAATATGGTAGCAAACAAACATGTCGTCTACACCAAGTTTTCAAGTTTTGCTCGCCATGATATTATATTTACAATAGCTCTTGTATCAGAGAGATGTTAAATTCGTAAGGTTTCCTCATGATGTTTTGAAATTCGGGTACACGGTCAAGCACTGGGGTATTATACCGATGATCATCATCAAATATCGAGTTATCAAGGAGAATAATAATGATAAAATAAAAATAACTTGATACATCTCACACTCGGCCGTCTGATCCCAAACTAGGCAGAGCCTGTACTATGGTAACCAGACTGCTGATAAACTTATATATTTCTAAATACATACATTTTATAGATAAGTTACACCCAGACAAAGGACAAATCATCGTGCTCCTCACACAATTATTTATCCTGAGTGGGAATCGAACCCACGACTTTCGGGCCACTAGACCAACAGGCCCGTCTAATGAATGGAAGAAGAAAACTCATTACTCCGACCAGAAAAAGGGCAAGGACGAAGATCTAACATTATATTTAGATGCCGATTTCATGTCATAATTTTTGGTACATATTTTTTAATACAGAGTATTCTGGCATGTAGATACTCGTTAATGTTGAGAATTCCTGTTATTTAAATATAGACCTTAGCGAATATACGCTTTGCTGTTTCGTAAGTTCCTTTTCTGTTGTATTTGTCAGAAAATAAGCTGTTAGTAAAATTCCCATACGTTAAAAATGGATCTACACAGCCAAAATAGGCCTAAGAAAGAAACTTCGAAGTCTTACAGTCATCGGTGGTGAGAGGGCAGTGTCCAAACTGAACGTTCAGGGTCTGTGAGCCGACGGCGTGAAACTCGAGCTGTGGACCCTCGAGAATGCAGCCGCTGAACACGCCGCCCACGACCAACACCGCGCCGCCTGACTCTAGGGCGCCAGGAGATAGCAGCTCAGGGTTCCAGGTTACGTTAGATATCACCTTAAAAAAGAAACAAAATGTTCAAAACAGTTGAACTGAAGTTTCTCGTTATGTGTATAGTTCTACTTCATCTAAATTTTTCAAACCAATTTTTGCTTCAAATTTATTAGGTGGTCATTTATTATATGCAGCGCAGTATTTATCGAGAATCAAACTATCAGATCCTGACATTTTATTTATTTTATGTTATTCGGGGAGCTTACAGCTACAGTACAAGAACATCAGTAATTTAGTTGATGAAAAACCAATAACAAGCTTCCACAGATACACAAGAAACATTCCACTTAAGTTACATTCTAATTAAATTATTAAAGATGTAAATAGGTGAAAACAAATTAAAACACATGCAAAATCAAGAGTCACAGCTCACACTGCAGTAGTGCAGGCAACACTATCAGCAAATCTGACGGTTAAATATGATCTAGCACTACCAGTACTTGTACTAAAAAGATCAAAACCACTGTCACTATTTAGTTTGTTCAACTCGGTGAAAACTCTAGGCAGGTAGCTATTTTAGATTTTCAAAAAAAATCTAAATCGGTTCAGCCATCTTCCAATAATCGCGTAACATACGATGAAGAGACTCGTGCTTTTCTTAAAGCGGTTATTCAATCCTATATACGCAATTTCTCAGAGCAGAATACTAGTTACATAATTTATAATAATACTGTGATGTCATTACTGTTTCAGTATACAGAAATCAGAATAGGTATTTGTGTCTGCAGCAGGCAGAAGCTTGCACGTGGCGCTTGAAAACAATCAGAGAACAAAGAGCAGATCAATCGGCAATGCAAAATATAGTGACGTCACAAGGTCAGTTGCGACTTTCTTGTTACATTGACACTGGGTTGATGGTATGACTCCATTGAATTGACATGGACATTAGAGCTGGCAATTGACTTAGATTTAGATGGTACGTTATACATCGCCAATTCAGATGTTCAGATGAAGACCTGTGTGAAGGCAAGTGGAGTTCTGGATTCCATTCTCCCTAGACAAGAATCTGAAGAACTTACTCGTAATAGCTAACAATCTTATGAAAGGAGCGCAGATGAATATATACGAAATTATAACATATGAAAGACGATATAGAAATGACAGAGCCATGAAAGCATTTTTTCGATAAATTGATAATGCTGATATTTTAATTGGCATGAGCAATGTTTTTATTCATTATAGGTTTATTTTTATTGCCAACTAAAAAGTAGGAGGCTTCCATTTCAACGACTTTTTTGTGATATAAAAAAATATTTTTTTAATTGAATTGGTTATACTCTTACCTACTTAGGTACTGTACGTACAAAGTTTATTCCATTCCTTCTTTAAAAGTAAAAAAAAATAAGAACACAGCTTATAACAATTAATAATGATAATATAATCATTAAATAAGATCATTGCAGTCGGTGATAATTTTTTTAAAAGTTTATAATGAAAAATCTAATTAAAATATTTAGAAATATCACGCTATTGATGTACATTGTAGTACATTAGTCCCAATCGACTGATTGACGTTCAGGAATTGACGTGTTTTCCAACAACTTCCGCTCTAGGAATAAATCCTGTGTCGCGGGACTTTACAATCATACATGAAACGGACACAAAGAACCCAGACTCAGAACAACAATTTGTGAATCACACAAAGTGTTGTCCCATATGGGGATCGAACGACATCACTCAGCGGAGTAGGAAGAAGCGAGGTACCCCTTTCACCATTACGCCATCCGTGCAGTGAAGAGTTTTATTTTCTCCATCATAATTATCACAACAAAAAAGTGGATCCTTAAAAGAAGAAGCCTATCTCCGACATGTCTGTAGGTATGACTTTTCCCCAGTACCTGTGTGTCCTTGTCGACTTCCAGTAGAAGTGAGGGCGGGTTCGGTCGATAGCGCAGCGCGACCCAGTGCCAGTGGTTGTCGAGCGTTTCTTTCTCTAGGCCGACCTCGCGTTGGGGCTGGTTGGGCCGCGCCCACTGCACCACAACTTGTTCAAAGAGAGCACTCACGCGCAGCGTGTAGCCCTCGAAACGCTGAGAGAATAGTTCACCTCCTGTAACACAAATAATTGAATTATAAACAGATTAGAAATTTAATTATAATCAACTGTTTTACATAGGAAAAAAAATGTTAATAAATCAGGCCCTCAGTAAATATTTGTACATATTTTTGTACCGGTGGAGGATAGTAGTAATACGAGGTAATTATTCCTGCATTTCCACAACCTATTTATGTTAACTCGGTTGTCTAATAATCTATAGAAATGGATGATTATATATTAGATAGATAGATAAATACTTTATTTGTACACCAGGGTATAGGACCTGTATTCACTATAAAGGTACGTTAGAAGAAAACTCAGATTTGGGTTAAGCTCGCCTTGTACATAAGTTATAGTGTACAATAAAGAATAAATAAAATGAATTGAAATATTTTCAATTTTATCTATACTAATATTATAAAGCTGAAGAGTTTGTTTGTTTGTTTGTTTGAACGCGCTAATCTCAGGAACTACTGGTCCGATTTGAAAAATTCTTTTAGTGTTAGATAGCCCATTTATCGAGGAAGGCTTTAGGCTATATATCATCACGCTAAGACGAATAGGAGCGGAGCACCAATGAAGAATGTTTCAAAAACTCAGAAAATGTATTACTATTTTTTTTTTTTTTTTTTTAAAAGACAACGCCCGCATTAGGAATAAATCCTGTGTCGCGGGGGACTTTACAAACATACATGAAACGGACACAAAGAACACCCAGACTCAGAACAACAATTTGTGGATCACACAAAGTGTCGTCCCATGTGGGGTTTGAACCCACAACACTCGGCGTAGTAGGAAGCGGCGTGGCGACCGCTTAAACCACTACGCCATCCGTGCAGTATTGAGAGACGCAGACGAAGTTGCGCGGGTCAGCTAGTTTTAAAATAAAATCTGTCCAACCCGTCTGGTCAGCGTAGTATAGTAGGCCAAAACCTCCTTTCTAAGGAGAGGACTATATCCAGCAGTGGACTAGTAAAGGCTGTTGATGATGATGATGATGAAATATTTTCTGGTAGATCAAAATACAACGATACAAATATTGACAACCCTAGTGGTGGCCGAATACAAGTATTTTATTATATACATACTAGTAAAAGCGCAGAATAAAACGCATAGAATTTCTCCAACACAGTTTCAACGGTTAATACACACGACAAAATATGAAATCTCACATCTCAAGTCCCGAATGCTCGGTCGTGTGTGACCTATAGCCCGCAAGTTCACGGCACATAACGGTGCAAAGGCCGCGCTAACAAAACCCCTATGTGACATTATGCCACTGGAAAATTGGCATAACGGTCGTTTAAATCATAAATTTTACTATACACATATGTGAAAGATATTTTAACGAATGGCGAGGACAGTTGGCACTGTGTGGACATTTAATACTCCTCAGACTTCCTTTATAGGATGTTCAGGCAAAACACCTACATTTATTACTTCAGTTTATTTTAAGTTGTTTCATTTTTAGTTAATAGATGGCGCTGTTATTATGTGTAAATCACGGTATAGTTTGACCATATAATGTTGTATTGTAGTATGACAAATACGCTTGATACGCAATTGTGTGGTATTATACCTCTACGGTTCTCCCTCGTTTAAGTACATAGGCATGAGTAAGTGTATGTCTGTACGCGAAGACGACCAATATAGACCAAAACGTATCAGGATTTTATATGGTTGCCGATGTTTATATTCACAACACGGGGTATCACATGTTATGGTATGTGGGTTTCGGTATGCTATCACAAGAACCAAAATAACTCTAGGAATAGTGTTATTTATACTAGCTATTGTCCGCGACCTCGATCACTTCAATAAAGATTTTGTCAGTCCATTTTAGTATCCCTCGGAAACAGTTCTTAAAGAATGAAATTCATACGAAAGAATTACTTATTTACCAGGTATTGAGAATTACTTATACACCCGGAGACCGTGGTGTGCCATAGTATGAGCTCTGCCACGGTTAAAACATACTTAGCTTTACATCACACAAAGTTATATCTTAGTTTACATTGCAAACTAGGTTTCAACGATGCGAATGTCACCGACCGACACATGTCCATTTCAGTTATAACCTCACATTACATTCTTGTTTATACATAGCGTTTGGGTGGCCTAAAGTTAAAAAATTGACCATGCTAATAATCTAATAAACACTTACTCCAATAATTGTGTCATTGGTCCTAACCCTGCCTATATATTTTTTCAGCTGGTAACTCAAACACAAACTAAATAATTATAAATAAAATTTAAAACTCCCCATATAGTGAAAAATCTGGTTTTCAATTATATTTTCTTTTCAATGTTTTTAATTATCAAACACTAGCTAAAGTGAAACGTTGTTAAAAAATCTACATCAATTAAGCTTTTAGTTAACAAAAATGAATCTATGGTAATTTTAATTTAAGAAATTTGATAATTATAAACTAGAAATTTGACACAGAATAAACATTTTGCTAGTCTGGTCTTTCTGTCTTTAACAGAGGCTGCTTCGCAATTGGACCAGAGCCGATAACATTCGCATGCACTGTTTATTATCAGCAACAACTGCCGGATTTCTCCTACTGAGTTCGATTCATTTTGGAAGAACACCGGAGTTGCATTTAGTAAATGAGATTCCTGCAGTTCCTTCAAACCCCCCAAAGGCAAAGGGGACCTAGAGGGAGACAAAGATTTTCGACCCAGTCATAAATAAAAAAAGAAATAGTTTAAAAAAACTAAAAAACACGCTTTTTATAGAAAACCAAACTAAAAAATAGAAAATAAATTTTGATAACCTTGAAAAAAGCGTTGGGTGCATGTTGTCTATAGTAAAAAGCACCCCGTCTTTTTTAGTTTTTTTTAAACTATTTTTTTTTAATTAGTATATTGTCATCGGTCCTCGATATATCTACAAAGTTTGAACGAATTCTGACCGTTTAAAGTCAGTCAAAATCACGCCCAAAAGAGTCGGTTACAAACAAACATACAAAAATTCAAGTGAAGCTAATATAAAGCGTGTAAAAAGAGGCCTGATTAGTGTATCGGCAACAGCTTGACAGTTCGGTTACCCAATTTAGTTGTACATAATTATATACATATTTTTATATTTAGTGAATATTGAATAAAAACGGTTAAGGTCAATGGCGCTAACAAAATATACGAGGAATTATTGTCTCTTACATTACAAAGATTAAATATAATGCAATCCAATTTAGCTATATTATACTTGTCTACTACATTCTAAAGCCCTCTTATATGTTTTTTAGAGAAGTCACAGTAGTTACTATATACCTTAAAACGAGCAATTCTTGTATATATTTATCCTCTATATACTAATTATCGTGGCGCGGTGTTTGTTATCAAACTCCTCCGAAACGGCTAAACCGATTTTTATGAAATTTTGTGTGCATATCGGGTAGGTCTGAGCATCGGCCAACATCTATTTTTCATACCCCTAAATGATAAGGGTGGTCACCCTCATCCCTACCTCTGATTTTCATGAAATTTAATATGCAGGGGTTTCGGGGGCGATTAATCGATCTAGCTAGGTTTCATTTTTAGAAAATTGACCAAAAAAAATACCGAGTAAAGCTGCTCATCCAGTTACTATATTTCATGCGACAAAATCAGGGGCGTGCGCTCCTTGTAGGCAGAAATGCAGTGTTTTACTTGCTATTCACAGACATTTTAATAAAACGTTCGTACGTTTTAGATGACTTTAATTAATAGTAAATAAATGAAAAAACAAAATATAATAACTTAAAAACGCCTACTATTTAAAAATAGGACCACACAAACATTATGTTTGCCAGGTGTTTACCGAAAAGCAAGCGCAAAGCAACTCATGCCGTCGCGTCCCGCATTACATTTGTTCGCATGTGTGTAGTAATTTTGGTGTCCGTGCACAGTTCGCAAACGCACACACCCATATATTTTATTACCCCGCCTCCAGCGGCAGGCTACCGAAGTTAGTTCGGGAGTAATCGGAAGTGTTCGTTTAAATAGCAGATATGTTTCGTGTGTTTCGCGGCCATATTCTTTACATTTTGTTTGCGCCAGTATAATTATAGTTTTATTTTTCATTTTAACTTTTGAAAGTTGTACATTTAACAGTTTATTACTGAGTTCAGTTGATTTTTTAAAAATGTTATTTGATTGTGAGGTACGTGTGGAAAATGTGTGTAACCGGAACCTTGAATATGATATTAAAAATCAGAAAATTGAAGATGACCAGGTGAGTAGTTATAATATTTTAGCTTATTATTTTACTTATTAGAATTTCTTCCGCCGCGACGATCTATCGCTGTTTTGTCTGCGTTCCCGTTGAAGATGTACATGAATAGTAGTACATCTAAGACTTGTTCTGTTGGCATGGTTTCCGACTTAGAGATCCGTCGCGTAGCTGTGGCTATGCTAAATATCTATAAAAGAAAAAGTTTTTGTGACCGACTACTCCGCATACCTAGTGTCATAATCCTGTGCACGCCGCTGGACAAAATTGATTGCTCTAAGTTTTGTACACAATTTTCTTAACGTTACTCCACTTTTCTGGAACTAGTTAAATAAAGATATTTAACTAAACAAAGAAAAGTGGAGTAAGATTAAGAAAATTCAACAGCACGTAATGAGATGTACTATAGTAAATTTGTAAGCAGAACAAGAGAGAGAGAATGTAGAGAGATAAAGAATGAGAATTCTCCATCTCTCTCCAATAGGGGTGGTGACACTTTAAAGTTTTAATCGTAAATTTTTAAGGGGTATATTTAGAGAGTTAGCAATGTAATAATTGTGACATGTGTTTTACAGTGACCAGCAACGAAGTGTCATTAACATCTACTAACTGACGAATCTAACAACAAACAGATGACATTTAATGCAGTGATGTCCTTTGAGGTTATGTTTTGTCCCTCAACGGCTCCACAAACATACGCACCTTCATCACACATTAGACTTTGGCAGAATTGTCGACTTCGGCACAGTTTGCCATAAACAAACTGAACTACTGAAAAACTGACCTGGTAAACACTTATTTGAGATTTCCCCATTGGTGTTTTTTTTCTACATCCGCTGTATAAATACATAAATTTATTTCACAGCATAGAGTGTATTACAACACATGCATAAAAAATATAGTGAGTCATAAATCAGCCTTGACCAACGACAAGAATTAATTAAAACACCTTTTCATTTCAAATGGTCTTATTGGTCAAGTTGATGAAGTCATTGATTTCTAAAAAGATGAAAATAACATAGAAGAGGTCCAAGACAGGTATATAAGCAAGACTTGTTGGCTGCCTTCACGATCTTAGGCTCAATTCACACTCACCGGAATGACAGTATAAATTACGCTACATTATATGTATGCCCTGTTATATGGTCAGTTGTTTTTTCTATATATCCTGCAGTGTTTTGGGACTTTACAAACATACATGAAACGGACACAAAGAACACCCAGACTCAGGACAACAATTTGTGGATCACACAAAGTATCGTCCCATGTGGGGATCGATCCCAAAACACCCAGCGTAGTAGTAAGTGCCGTGGCGACCGCTAAAACCACTACGCCATCCGTGCAGTTATTATCCTTTACATTCGTTTTCCGCAAAATACATTTATCCCGTTTAAAAATCATTCTATGCCCAAGAAAGATCCCGTCAGGAAAGTGCCGGCCATAAAAGAAGCTAGCTAAAACCCTTTGGAATGTTATATATTACGCCTACCCCATATTAAATTGGGTAACTGGCAGGGGGGTCATGATGATGATATTTTATATCCGATGAACATGGAGAACAACACTCAATAATAGGTCTTAGTTGGACTGACACAGAATTTAATAGTTACTACATCGCATCATTTGAATTGTGTGGTTTGGTGGTGTTTAAATTGTCCGTGTGGTGACGGATTAAGAATACGGAATGTCACCACCCCTATTCATCCCGTGGGTGTTGTAAGAGGCGATTGAGGGAGCAAACTACGAAGGACAGCAGCACTGCAAAGAGAAGGCAAACTTGACACAAACCCTTTATCAACCCGTCTGGCCAGCGTGGTATAGTAGGCCAAAACCTCATTTCTAAGGAGAGGCCTATGTCCAGCAGTGGACTATTATAGGCTGTTGATGATGATCATTTAAATTGTAGGCATAGACAAAGTAGAAAACAGTGCAAGGGAAGAAATAAAATTGAGTTAAATATCCTTCTATCATTTTTAAATCCCAAAATCCTGGCGCTAGTAAATATATGCAACGCCGGTCACGCTTCACAGCCAGGGGACAAAATTCGGAAGAATTTAAGTTTCTATAGAATGTAAAAAGTCTTTGAATATTGCTGTTAATCGCTGCCGAGTCTCGAATTGAAGCTTATAGCACAGCAGTTTTCCTTAACGATATTAGTACAATTTAATTAACATCGCAATAAACTTAATCTCCCTATATTATCTATTCAACATTATGTACATATAAATGTAAAAAATCATTACGAATGATGCCACAGAAAAAAAAACATGATCAAAAAACTATGATCTCATGCATATATTAAATATTCAACTTCTATTCTGTGTTAGTTGATCAATGTATGCCTTTCTCTTAATCACAATGTTATTACAACATGTTTATTACAGTAACCGGTTCAAGCATGCCGTCTGCGTGCGTGATCTCTCTGACGTAACTGTCGCGGCGATGGCCACGCTGTCTTCGCAAGAGCACACCGGTCATAAGCCGAATGCATGGAGTTGGATCCAATGTATGACTCCATATAAATCGATTGATCACTAGATAATATGTGACGATATCACAAAAACCCGAACTAAAAAAAAGTGTTTTGACAACGCAACCTTGAATTTTAATCCGAGTAGCGAAGACTTACGATGTTTTAAAATGTACGAAGATGGGTTTACGAAAAACGGGAAACCTATAATAATAAATTAGCTTTGTTTTTAAAGAATTTGCTTTTTTTGGTGAACTTGTCAATCTCACTACATGCCCGAAGAATTCAGAAACTTAGTTTTGACTTTCATAGTTTGTCGAACGGTCTTCAACAACGTACGACTTTTAACATAGTTACAATAACCACAAACAAGAAATATGTAGATAGTTTTTATCGTTCAAAGAAGAAGTGCTTACCTATGATCCCAAAGAATGCTAGATCTAAGAATTTACAAGCAATTCTGTCAAATTCTTTGACAAATAACAACACAAACCTATGTAGTAAACACTTGGTCAGAACTGCTAATGTCAGTGGTTCTGGGAATCACGAGGCATGCAGCAACGCAATCGGTAATGGCCGGCAAAAACGAGTAACGACTGAAGACAGTAATGACAGGATGATTTTGATTGATGCCTGTCTGCCTCCACATCAGTTTTTACAGTATGAATTACTTAATTTTTTGATCAACATCTGCAGCATATTGAGTAGAATTGCTTTGGGATATGTGCCCAAACAGGGATGAATAATGCGAGCATTGAACTTTGGTAAATAAGGGGTATTCATAACTTCAAAATAGAAAATTTATATTGCTATCTTTGTTTCATAAAAGATGTAATAACAAATTTGTCTACTGTGGTCCATATATATAATCTTTTTCTCTTTTTATAAGTATAGCATTTTTTGTTGCCAAAGGTTTTTAAATAACTATCTAATTTTTTAAATAATGTGCGACTTACCAACACAGGTTCTAAAACTAAGTCCAACAAGTTGTTTGAGTGAAATGGGCCGGGAGAGACGGATGTAGGAGCTGCCGTTGAAGTAGGCCTCCGGTCGGTCAGAGCGACCGAGGGGGCCGGCGGCGCGTGCGCTGGGCCACAGCGCGCAGGTTGCCAATAACAACCAGCATGCTACAAAAAAAGAAATAATCATATTAGTACTTTTACTTTATCACTATAAAAAAATCATATAATGCCATCTTCCCCGAAAACAACATTTTTGAGTGACTTAAATATTTTAGTAGTTACTAATAGACATACTAAATATTGTTTAAAATCATATTAAAATGCTTTCTTAAGAAAAATCTAGAAATCGGTATTTGTACTACCTACTGGAATCGTGCTAAGGTCGTGAGCGGTCACTTATGGTAAGCGCATTTTGCTGTGTTCCCGCAAACAGGAAGACTTGGATTATTCTTTTGAGTGCAGAGCTTACGAGAAGACGAAGCGTACTTATTATTGAGTGTATTGATCTGATGGAATCATTGTTAAATTATATCTCAAAGTCTCTGAACACAACAGGTTGTGTATATAACTTTCATGATTTACACGTCCATATTAACATGTACATTCAAGTTTATTCACTAAAATTTCACCAAAACATTCTAACTTTCTCGACATATGCTCAAAGTGATTTTAACTACTTATTTTTACGTTTTACTGTACTTAAAAAGGCCAAATCCAAACTATAAATTAACCAAAACAACATTACACAATCATTTCCGCCATATTTAAAACCTGTCATAAGTGATTTAGGCACACTCCGCGCCTATCGGAATTGATTAAAACTTTTACCTGTTAGGGTTAGTGTTCGGATATCCGATGATTGCCACAACCTACAACCCCTAGGATTAACAGACACAAATTATAGAAGAACAGAAATTATTTAGCTGCCGGTCGCAAACAGGGCGGCGGTAAATCAAAATCGTCAATTGCTCGCCGCCGGCAGCACATGCGAATAGGGGGTTGGGCAAACAGTTCGATACTACGGAACAAATGTGTTGCATGTAGGTGCATAGTGCCAACTAAACCAGGTCAATGCGAACGGCGCAAGGCGCAACTCGAGGGCGATAGCGTTAGTAAATCACTAAACAATTAACCAACAAACGATATATTTCTAAACCTCTTGCTCCACAACAAACGTCGCCTGTTGGATTTGGTTCAACAAAAACTTTTAAATTTTATATTATTTCTTAAAAATTGAAAGCATTTTTTGTGTAATAGAAAATGTTTATGGAAAATTGAGTTTTCCAGTAATTCTGTAAGGCGAGGGGTCGATTGTTCATTTATGTAAACAGAGTGTAGACCTGACCACTTCATAATGTATTGCAAGAAATGGTAGTGAATTTTTATGGTTTAAGGGGCAAACAAGCAGACGTGTCACTTGAGGGCAAGTGACCACCGCCGCCCGTGGATACCTGCAAATTAAGAGTCATAAGTGCTTTGCCGTTCTTTCCACCCCCTCCCAAGAATTTAGGAAAAGGGAGTTTGGGCTTAACATCAGGTTTTTGTGTGGCCATGTGGCTGTCTCACAGAAAACCGATGAGATAGACATCGTAACTCGTAGGCTTGATTCCCACTGAGGACAATTATCGTCTGATGAGCACAGTTATTTCTTCTGTGTCTGGGTGTACATACATACATAGAAACACCCAGAACACAAAAATTTGACTTGAGCGGGAGTCGAACCGGCGACCTTTGGAATAGCAGTCCGTTACACAAACCACTATACCATCCGGTCGTATGTCTGGGTGTAATTTAGTATGTATGTATGTATTTAGAAACACATAAGTATGTTTATTTAAAAATATACGAGGCCTCGATCTTTGAAGGAGAACAACACATAAAGGATTGGCCGATGGCTTATACGTACATTGATAAAGGTCACTGTTGTGGTTAACGCTCTGCCAGTAAATTTACAAATAACGATTCATAAAGGCTTTTTTCTATCATCTCTTTAAACGCATCTCCGAAAGTTACCATGTCCTGTAAGAAATTGAGTGACACAGTGATCCACCTCAAGCCATGCTCTCGACAACCGTTCACGAACAGATGGAAAGACATGGTAAAGGTGGCGGCCCTTAGATGATTCGTCCCAGCGTTGTTGCCATTCGTCTATGAGGTCATTATAGACAATAGACATGGGCCTGCTGTTGAAGCAATCATGTAATTTTATCGCGATCTCCTGCGCCCTAAAAATCGCATCTCCGACTAGCTAAGGTAGCAGTCAGTTCTGCGTACTCCTTGCTTTTTGAAAGAGATCGGCAGCACTCGCGAATTCCGTTCATTCCCGGATGTTACGTAGCCTCGACTTTATTTCTGCGACCAACCCCTCTTCTTTCGGCAACCTTGCCTTACTAATTGTCAGTATATGGAAAAGTCTTTTTTCTATAAGTTGGCTAATACAACAAGTCAATGGGCAGCGGTAGTCACTTATAGAAACGATACGTATAAAGGAAGCTGGCTGTTACATCACTTTATGTTTCTAAATCTGTTAAAAGCGTTACGATATTTCCCAATAAAATGATTTTTCTTTTTTGAACTTATAAACATTATTTCCTACTTTTTAGATCGGCTAGCTACAAAAGCGTGTTTTTTTAGTTTTTTTAACTATAATTTATTTTTTAGTCATTAATGATGATTAAAAGTAAAAAAGTAGGAAACAAGTAAGTTTACGTGGTAAAAGACACTACCGTATTTCAAGGTATGTAAAAAACCGTTAATCCTGATGGTCCTGATGATGATGAGACAAACTATTTACATTATTGTTTACGCATTGTCATCTGTCCTTGAGGTGCAAGGTTTTAAGGTTTCAAGTTTGAAGTGGGTCAAAATCACGTTTGAAGATTCCGTTACATACCTACATTCAGTCAAAAAAGTATCGGCAATGGATGATTTGTTTATGGTTCCAAATTCAAAGTTTTGTTTTTTTTTTTTTGTTTTGTTAGATTGGCACAACTGTTTTCCATTTTAGCGCGGAGTTTGAGTTGCATCTGTTATTTATATTAAATACAGTGCTGTTTTTAGTTATATCATATCTAATGTGTATTGCGAATTTCATAATGGACAAAAACATCGAAAAAAGAGTTTGTCTTAAATTTTGCATCGCCAATGGAATTTCGTGTTCGGAGTCACTGAAAATGTTACAGAAGGCTTACGGTGAATCGACTTTATCAAAAACACGTACTTATGAGTGGTACAAAGCGTTCAAAAAGCGTGTTAAAAAATCAAAGCTTTTAAGTAAAAATCGCGTAGTTTGATTTATAACCCACCACGTTAACGAAAGTGTTTGTACGATATTGAAACAAATAAAAATATACAAAATACGACACAAAATCATTGCTGAATTACGATAAGGCAAACCACAACCGTTAACCATTAAGATAAAGCCACAGAACTGCTTTTAAACGTTTTTATCACGACACCATTAAATATCTACCTAAGTGTGTGAGGCGTGGTGTTTCACCTACATTATATATATAGTAAAAAATTGAAGCATGAAAGAGGCTGTGATCTTATATACCCGTGCGTAAATAAAATTTACCTGACTGTCAGTACGAAACTGTGAGATTATTGTGAATGAAAATATACAGATAATTTTTGTTTACATTGCTTGATGTGTAATTTTATTTTTTATATAATACCGTTTATTAGGTCAGAGAGTGTACAGTTAGTACTAGTCGCTGTCGATAGATGGCACCACTTGTACCAATTCTGAAACGCGGTATGGTTTTGTTACCAATGTAAATATAAGTAAGTAGCAAAGATTAGTACAAATTCAATATTTCCATCTTTAGCAAGTGTGGTATTTTTATTAAATTTGTATAAAAGAGACAACTAAGTTTACAATGAATAACGTTGAACAAAGTGCCTCACTTAGTTCTCAGTGCGTAAGTTGACTTGGAAATGAAATCGTGAGAAACTCTTGTTTAACAGATGTGTTGATAACAATTTGGTCGAAGAATTGCGTTTTGCGCCATTAGTTTGCAATGATACGACGTTTATAAAGGACAGTTTTATTAATCGTGTGTATTTTGAGGATCCCAGACACCGACGCGGAAGATAAAGCGTTCTTGATAACAGTCCATCGTTGGGTCCAAAACTAATACGGCATTAGCAAAGTATATACGTGACCAAAACGTATGGTATGGTGAGCAAACGACCAGACCGGTTATCTGATGGTAAGAGACTACAGCCACCCATAGGCCCTTGCAGCTCAAGGTCACAAGTGGGTTCCCGCCTTTTAGTCCCACCCCCAGATTCAGAGGGAGGGGGAAGTTTTAGAGCCCGGTAACTTTATACATTCGATCAAAAGTAATAAAAGAACTTTTTAATACCGGGTTTTTGTAACGCCGTGGTGTCCATCCGGTCAAGCTTGACCCATTTGTGTCGAAGCATAGCTCTTAGATCCTACGAAATAGGCAGCAAAATAGCTACTAAAGCTGTTTTTAACCGACATTTCAACAGGCATTCGATTCATATGTTCATTTGACGGGTCTGTTGGTCTATTGGTTAGTGACCCTGGGCCACCCAGGGCAAACAATTATGTGATGAGCACGATGATTTGTTCTGGGTCTGGGTGTAAATTATCTATGATATGTATGTATTTATAAATATATAAGTTTATCAGCTGTCTGGTCCCATAGCACAGGCTCTGCCTCAGTTTGGAACCAGACGGCCGAGTGTGAGATGTGTTTAGCTTTTATGAAGCTATTACTATTTACGAGGAAAGTTTTGTAGAAAGTTAAAACAGGATCCAGGTGACTATAAAGATGCATTAACAGTGTGAAACGAAGTAAGAAGCCATACGAGTGGTGTAGTACAGCTAGTGGATGGTCCAACGTCGCAGAGCTCTTTGACCTGTTATAGCATATTGAATACGCCAATTCGATTAGTGAACACAGCTCCATTAATGAGGACATCAGTAAAACCATACATTAAACATCACGCTTGGAACTGAATGGAGAAGAAACACATTCTTTGTCTCGTACACCTCAAGTCCTTTCTTTTACCCAGTGTAGTTTTAGAATATAAAAATTAAACGGGTTTATTGTACTATTGTCTTTCCATTACAAATTCTATACTAATACTAGTTAACCGACAGACTTTGTCCTGTGCACACGTCTTAAACTAAAACAAGATTTTGTAGTGGAC